TGAGTCAGCTTCTTGCAGCCTCACAACAATCACAAATGCATCCCCTCGGCCAAGAGAAGGCCTTTCCCTTCCTTTCGTGCTTCTGTGTCTCAGGTCAGGTCCTAACAGCAAAGTCCATCGGAGGCCTTTCTTGACAACTCCCATCCTCCCAACCACAGTGAGGCTCTGCTGTGTTCCCTCAAGCATGGTACACAGTACTTTTTCATCTAAGCACTCACCCGTGTTTGTAATGCTGTATTTATTTGTGCAAGGATTGGATTGTTGTCATTCTCTCTTCTTGATAGGAGATCCTTGAGATTGGCTCCGCATGGAATATGTAGCACTAAATATCCGGCACATGGTACGCACTCAGGAAGTACATATTGGAATAATGAGTGAACTATAGATGACCACTTAGAATTATGAGGAGACAGGCTGGTCTTATTCGGAAGGATTTTTCTGTTCTTTCTGAAAGGATTATGGGAGGCCATTCTACTGTGCATGTCTCCAGAATTATAGACTAGGGAGGCTGACTTGCAGAAGTGCATTACAGCTCCTGCCAAAGAGAAGGATCAAGGCTCACCTTTCCCCACGGTATGGCTTTCATTCTTGCCTATGCACCAGGGAAGAAATGATTCTCACTTGGAAATCACACAACCAGGCACATTTACTTTGCTTGCCCACCTCGCCGAAGTCCCAGCCTCTTAGAGTGTATACTGGTGAAGGCAGGTGAGTGAGTTCAGCACAACACCCAATCACACAAGAATTTTTCTTCCCACTTCCAGAAACTCAGGGGAAGAGAATGGGAAACAAAGGGTCTGACAGTTAAAACTGTGGAGACAACAGGGCTGTGTGCTTGTGGCTCAGGGAAACAGACCCAGCCAGAGTTCTTCCAGATCCAGAGCTCAAGGACCTAAGGGGATGAATGTTCCATGTTAACCATGGCAAAGCTTCACCCCTTCTGGAGGCTTTAGGGTATAAAATGACTGCTTTGTTGCTTAGGGTCCTGGAGTTGCAGAGGAAATCAATTCCATTTATACACTTTAAATGATAATACTGTAAATGACAAAACCTTTTCCCTGGGCAAGTACTTCAAACAGCAAACTGAACAATAGCAGTTAATGTATCATTCAGAAGACACTCATGTAATCAATTAACTCATTACACTTAACTATTCAGCCTCTTAATCCAAATTTAATCATCACCTCAAAGCTAGTTGACCATTATCAAGTCTACTAAAATGTCCCACTGAAATAATGCACCCTGGGGAAAAATACAGTCACAAGGCAGGGACACAATGACTCTAAAAAGGATTTAAAATCTTATATCCCTGCCTCCTTCCCAGCGCTCTATTCTCCCCTCTGGCCAGAGTTTGCTTCTGCCAAAAAAAAAAAGGGCATCTCTGGGACACCTGGGTGGCTCAGTCGGTTAAGCATCTGCCTTTGGCTCAGGTCATGATCCCTGGGTCCTGGGATCGGGTCCCACATCAGGCTCCTTGCTCAGCAAGGAGTCTGCTTCTCCCTCTGCCTCTGCTGCTCCCCCCTGCTTGTGCTCTCTTTCTCTTTCTCTCTGACAAATAAATATAAAATCTTTAAAAACAAACAAAAGGGCATTTCTATGGTCTCTGCCAGCTCTAATCACCTATGGTTTTCCCATATTCAAGGCCTGATGTGCCTTGATGAGGGTAGCTTGGCATTGGGTTTATTTTTAGCCCAAAGGCCACTTAGGGATGACGTAAGAATTCCAAGTGAGATTCAAATTTGCAATAATACCAGTGGCTTGAGCATACAACTTCAGGCTGCCAAAACTGGATTTAAAAATGTCTTAGGGGCACCTAGGTTGCTCAGTCAGTTAGGTATCCAACTCTTGATCTCAGTTCAGGTCTTGATCTCAAGGTCATGAATTTGAGCCCCACATTGGGCTCTGTGCTTGGCATGGAGCCTACTTAAAAAATATAAATAAAATAAGTATGTCTTAGAGCTACTGAATCATACCCAGCTCTTCACTTTACAAATGAAAAAACTGAGATCCAGGGAAATTTCATTTCTTCTGATGATCCTACTTACCTTTCAAGATTCAGTTCAGACACACACATGTAAGACTTCCCTGACCACTCCTTGCTGTCATCAACCCCAAATATTTACTGACTGTGTGTTAGGTACCAGCCCCTACTGCAGGCACTTGGGATCCACCAGTATACAATTGAGACAAAAATCCCTGCCCTTGAGTAGCTTACATTGTGGCAGGGGACAGGCAATAAACAATAAGCGTAATAAATACAAATAAATACTGTAAATCCTAAAGTAGGTGGAAGGCTATAAATACTATGGAGGAGGAGAATAGAGCAGGGAAAAGGAGATCAGGAATGTCAGAGAGTGGGGGTTGGTTCATTTGTGATTTTTAAATAGTCATGTAGGTCTTGTTGAGAAGGTGGCAGGTGACAAGAACCTAAAAGGGGTGAGGAAGTTAGTTATACAGGCACCTGGGAAAAGAGTGTGCCAGTCAGGGGTACGGCACACACAAAGGTTCTCTTTTATTTTTAAGATATTTATTTATTTGAGAGAGAGAGACAGAGTGTGTGTGTGTGTAATCGGGGGGAGGGGCAGAGGGGGAGAGACAGAGAATCCTCAAGCAGACTCTGCGCTGAGCGAGGAGTCCAACACAGGGCTCAATCCCAGGACCCTGAGATCATGACCTGAGATGAAATCAAGAGCCAGACGCCCAACCTACTGAGCCACCCAGGCGCCCCAGCACATGTAAATGTTCTTAGGTAGCAGCAGGCCTAGTGAGCACAAGAAACAATGACCGCATTGGTGAGAGAAGTAAGGATTGGAGAGAAACTGATCATGCAGAGCTCTGTGGACCACTGCTGGGGCCTTGGTTTGAACAGAAGAGTGAGATGATCCAACGCCTGACCTCAAAGATTCACTCTGGCTGCTGCATTGAGAACAGAATGTGGTGGACAGATACAGAAGTACAGAAACCTGAAGGCGGCTATTGCAGGGACTTAGATAGGAGATGAGGGTAGCTTGGAACCAGTGGTAGCAGCAAGTGAGAAGTGGTTTAATTCTGGCCATATTTTGAAAATACAACCAACAGATTTGGTTGATAGATTAGATGGATTATAAGACACAGTGTTTCTGAGGGTTTCATTCTTTTCTTAAGTCTAAGCTACATACTTAACTAAATTCAATTCATCAGAATGTGTTATAATTGTTTTTCCATCTTTGACTCTGCACCAATCTCTCTGAGGGCAGATGTGCTGTATTCACTTCTACATTCCCAATGCCTCCTGCAGCATTCAATAAATATTTGCCAAATAAATGATCATGAAGCATGGTAGACGTGAATTCATACTGGACCCAATACTATCTTTATCATCTCTCTGCCAAGATGCGTTCTACCTCAAGTATGAAAATCCATTACCTAATATGAGGTCAGTTAGGCCCCAATCTAAGAGTTCAGGCTCCACATGCTGGTCTCTCTTTCCTGACTGTATTAGTTTTAAAACAATGCACATTTAGAATATCAGCTTTCCGTGGGTTAGGAGTCCAGGCACACAGTCTTCTGTTAGGTTCTCACAAGGCTACAATCAAGGCATTAGCCAGGCCGTGTGTGTGTTCTTACTTGGAGGGTGAACTGGGGGAGATTCTGTTTCCAAGCTTATTCAGGTTGTCGGCAGTTAATTTCCTTGGACCATAGAACTGAAGGCTCCAGTTTTTTGCTGTTGGCTGGAGGCATCTTGCTGTTTCTAGAGGCCACCTGCAGTCCTTTGCTACATGACCTTCTTCAATATGTTCACTCACTTCATCAAGCCCACAAGGAGAGTCATCAGCCTGTTGAAAAGAAATGTTATATAGCATAAAGGAATCCCAGGAGTGACATCCCAGCACCTTTGCTTTATTCTATTAGTTCGAAGCAAGTCACAGATCAAGCCCACATTCAAGGAGAAGAAATTACACAAAGGCGTGAACGCTGGGAAGTGGAAATCATCGGGGGCCACCTTAGGGTCTGTCCACCAGAATGACTTTTATCAGTAGAATTTTTTTACCATCCCAACAATTCTGACCCAGTGTTCATTCTGGCATAGCATGGCCCTCTAGACTTCACTGTCCAATATTGTAGACACTAGCCCCATATGTGACTGGTGTGATGGAAGAAGTGAACTCTGAACTTTTTAAAATTTTAATGAATTTAAATTAAATTTAAAAACTGGGGCGCCTGGGTGGCTCAGTCGGTTCTGCCTTCGGCTCGGGTCATGGTCCCAGGGTCCTGGGATCGAGCCCCGTGTCGGGCTCCCTGCTCGGCTGGAGGCCTGCTTCTCCCTCTCCCACTCCCCCTGCTTGGGTCCCCTCTCTCGCTGTGTCTCTCTCTGTCAAATAAATAAAATCTTTAAAAATAAATAAATAAAAATAAAAACTGATATTCAATTCAGTTATTGGAGAAATTTTTATGTGTCTTTGGAACAATCTGGCTATATGAATCTAATTTTTCAACGAACTTTTATGAAATCTAGATACTGATCAAGTATTTCCACTGAAAATTTAGTGTTCACATTGAGATATGCTGTTAATTATAAAATCACCAGATTTCAAACTTAGTATAAAAAAGAAGTATCCCAATAATCATTTTATATTGATTACGTGTTGAAATGATAACATCCTGTATATATTGGGCTACAAAATATATTATTAAAATAATTTTCATGTTGTTGTTTTTTTAATGGGTTACCAGTAAATTGAGTTACATATGCGGCTCGCTGAGAGAAAAAGAGGTGTTGAGCTTACAATGAGGTTGGAAAGGCACACCATCAAAGTTTGCTAAGAAGGCAAGACAATGTCTAACGCCAAACAACAATCACCGTGGCGGCTCAGAGGAGAGAAAGCCGGGGCCACCCACCGGCCGGCCAGACTTCAGCAGAAGACGAGCCAGGCGCCCCTGAGCGTTTAGAGTGGACGCGCCGCAGGACGCGCTGCGCACGCACCGCCGCGCGCTCCGCCCGGAACGCGGGGCGCCATTTGACCCCGCCGCCGCGCCGTAGGTCGGGCTGCACGCCGCCGGCTGCCATGGCGGACGTGTCCGAGCGGACGCTGCAGCTGTCTGTGCTGGTGGCCTTCGCGTCCGGAGTGCTCGTGGGCTGGCAGGCGAACCGGCTGCGGAGGCGCTACCTGGACTGGAGGAAGCGGAGGCTGCAGGACAAGCTGGCGACGACTCAGAAAAAGCTGGACCTGGCTTGAGACCCCGCGCTGTCGGCCCCCGCCGGCCCGCGCGCCCACCTCGCCTGGTCCACGCGGGGGCTCCGGCCCGGCCTCGGCATGAGCCGCGCTAGCCTCATCCGCCTGCCGCGCCTTGATCTTTTTGGAGTCGGTGAGCAGTACGTACGGGGCGGAGAGTAAGGGGAGACGTTGGGGGCGGGCGAATATTTTGGGGCAGGAGCGCCTGTGGATGTTTCATAGGGGTGACTTTCTCCCAAAGACACCAGGATTCTGAGGAGGTTTTGTTTTCTCCAGTAACTTGCAGTAGGTGTCCTAGTTCAGTTCACTGCGTGCCTTTAGTGGGAATGTCTTACCACGTGCAACATTGTTGCACCGTGACATTAAACTTCAAAAAGGAACATACTGGGAAGAAGGAAAGGAAGAAAACGGACCGTGGAGATATTCTTGCCACCTCCTACCCCCTTATTCTTTTCGATAATATCCCTGGTAGACCATAGTACATCTTTGCGTTCATGGTTTGTCATCTCCAATCTGAATTCTTTGGTTGTTGGCAGCCTGGTAAAGTGGAAAGAGCAGTGGCCTGGAAGTTAGGAGCCTTACATCTAGTGGTAGCTTTATCATCAGAGCTGTGCAAATTGAATTATCTTTAACATCAAATCTAGTTCATAGATTAACTCCACAATAGAATAATTTGGAAGTTAACGATTATATTATTTCTGATTGTTTTTCTCTTTTCTGTTTCCAACAGTTTGTCGAAGATGGATATAGAGCACTGGACAGATCTAATTTCTCCTTGCACTTTATGAGTCAATTTTATTTTTAAAATAAAAAAAAATTTAAATATCTTTGAATCTTCTATCAAAAGGAAAGGAGTATCTTGCCTGCCAAGCAGTTTACTTCATCAAAAGATCTGGATTCTCAAAACTGATCTATTAGTGTTTTTGAGCAGTTACCTTCCTTCTTAAGGAATCTATGCCAGTTCCTTGGTAGTTGTGAAGCAGAGTTGGCCTAGTGACCATATGAATCCTTTTGGCCAACTGTTACTGGATCTGTTAGGAAAGCAAGGGGCTGTATAAAAATAACTGAGTTAAGGGTGATGTATATGCCCCCAGTATAGAGTGATAACATACTCCAATTATTACTGGCAAAAATTTCACTTATATGTCATTATAGAATATATATTAAAGGAAAACCCTAACCCTCTTGACTAAAGCTTAGTGATAAATTCCAACTATTACCTAAAAATCAAGAGTAAGTGACTAAGTCCTTGGTTATTTTTTATTTGCAAGAGGTGTTTTCTATAACACTGTCCTTGCTCATAAAGATTAATTTTGTGTCTCAGCGCATTTAACAGCAGCTCCATATTAACATAAAAGTTAGAATAGTTGGGGTGCCTGGGTGGCTCAGTCGGTTAAGTGTCTGCCTTGGCTTGGGTTGTGGTCCGGGGTCCTGGGATTGAGCCCCGCATCGGGCTCCGCAGGGAGCCTGCTTCTCCCTCTCCCTGCTGCTCCCCCTGCTTGTGCGTGTGTGCGTGTGCTCTCTCTCTGTCAAATAAATAGATAAATCTTTAAAGAGAAAAGTTAGAAAAGTTGTTTCTACACAAAGCCTTTTTTTTTCCCATTTTATTGGGAATGGGAGTCGCAACTCCTCATGATCCCAGTGCAGCTCTTTCTGCCCACAGGTCCTGTCCCCGTGCTTTAATAAAACCACCTTTTTACACCGAAGACATCTCAAGAATTCTTTATTATGCTTTATTACTTCCAATACTTGTTTTCATTCTGTGAATGCAAGGACTAAAATGTTAGTTCTTAGAGCTCATCCCATCTGGGCTGCAGTGTGCTTCTCAACCATATGAGAAGATAAAAGCCATTAAGTGGGAATTCCCTCATTATTCTTCCTCTCAGTAGCTCTATTGAGGGCAGAGGTTTTCAACAGCGCTGCACAATGTAATCATCTAGAGAGCTTTAAAAATACTGATCCCTGCATGCTACTCCCCACAGATTTGGATTTATGTAGTTTGGGGTGTGCTTGGGCATTAGGATTTTTAAAGTTCTGCTGGTGACTGTGATGCTCAGCAGACGTTGAAAACCACTGGTTTTGAGGCTTTATCTCATTAGCTTTTCTTTCTCAGAAGAGAATTCTGCATCCCACCTCCCCTCCCCTCCCCATGCCAAGGACCTTCCTTGTTCTCTACTACACCATTTTTGTCTAGCGTCTGCAGTTTCTCCCTGCTTTCCCTCTATTAACAAACATGCACAGGTTTGACTTCAAAAAAATTTTTAGGGCGCCTGGGTGGCTCAGTCGTTAAGCGTCTGCCTTCGGCTCAGGTCATGATCCCAGGGTCCTGGGATCGAGTCCCACATCGGGCTCCCTCCCCGGCAGGAAGCCTGCTCTCCCTCTCCCACTCCCGCTGCTTGTATTCCTGCTCTCGCTATCTCTGTCTCTGTCAGGAAAAAAAAACAAACTTTAGTTGACCCCATCATTTGCTAATTAGAAAAAGTCCACTATCACTTTCTTCCTAAATATTTTGCCCATTAACCTGTTGCACTCTGCCCTCTGCAACCCCCCCAGAGCCTTTGTCATCTAATGGCCATTTCTGAATCCTTGAGTTTTCACCTCCAGGGTATTTGATAATGCCAGGATCTCCCTTGAAATTCTTCCCACACTTCCCTAATAATTTAAAACCTTCCCACATTTCCAAACTTTCACTACTCCCTTTTCTAAGTTCTTTCAACTTCAGTCCTTGGTCCTCTGCTCTGTCCTTTCCTTTGGATTACCCAACCAGTCCCCAGGCTTAACTATCATATCCAAGCAGAACCCCTCTAAGATATTTCTGCCTCACCTGATCCTTTTATTTCCGGCTTCACACTTAAACTGCCTGGTGTTTTCATTGGATAATCTTACTCAAGAACTCAAATGCAATGTGTACTTGGCAGGAAATTGTGCAGGTGACACTTCTATGACAGTCTTTGGTAGGTGGTACAGCTTCATGATTCTAGTCCATCACCCTAGCTCATAAGCTCTTTGAGCCCAGTGCCTTAAACATCTTGTACCACAGGTCCACCACTGCTTTCCACTAAGGTGCTCATAAATATTTGACACTTTTGAGGTGAATTGTTTTAAGATCCTGAAATAGCCAACTTTCTCTGTTTTCTTTGTGTAATTTCTTTTTAGTAGGTTCCTAACTACTTGGTTCCACCAGTTCTACATAATGAGTCTCTCAAAAACCATTAAATTCTTTTTCAGTGTCTCCTGTAAGGTAGCAATACAAAGTTGACAATTCATTTTAACACACTGATGGAAGAAAATCATAATGAGTTTTACAAAATACCTTGTTCTCAGGAGAAACAGTCACCATGTTTTGCTCGGTTTCAGCTACCTCACTGCAAAACTTTGTTTTAGGTTACTTTTGATGTAGGAAAGATGTTAGGGTTCAGAGCTGATGGCCAAGAAAGAATTCTTGAGACATTTTCGGTGCAAAAAGGTGGTTTTATTAAAGCACGGGGACAGGACCTGTGGGCAGAAAGAGCTGCACTGAGGTCATGAGGAGTGGCGATTATGTACTTTCAAGCTGGGAAGGTGTTAGGGAGAGCGTAAGTCTCTAGGAATTTTGGAAACGGTTTCCAGGACCTTGAGGCAGCTAGCTATTGTTAGGAAAAGGTCATTTATTACTGTTTAGTAAAAACTCAGTTATGAGACCCCTTCAGATGTATATCAGTGGGTCATATGCTTAGGGGATGATTGCCAACATGTATCTTGCAGGGTAGAGATAAAGGAAGTTTCCAAAGGATTTTTTATATGTTAAAGTAGACTTACAGGATCCTGGGGGTTGGGCTATGATTGTCTTTTGCCTTTAACAAAGTATTAACATTGAGGCAGCTGAGTTCCTAGGTCACTTTGCCTGTTTCAAGGACTTGTCAGTGGGCTGTAAGTAGTAAGGAAATTTAATTTTTCTTTTGCCTTTGCTTCCCACATCACTTTGCTTTTAATAATGGCATCAAGGGATAACAAGAAAGAAGCAATGACTACTGTTAAGGTGACTGCTGAGCATTACAAATCAAAAGAAATATAAATTAATGAAAAAGGCTGTTAGCGGAGTAATTTCATCCCTTACAGCACACTGAATACTTAAATAGTATGTCTCAGCCTTAAATATGCACATGAAACACTGGGGTATTATAAAATATAGATTCTGATGCTGTAGGTCTGTGGTAGGGCCTGAGAATGTGCATTTCTAACAAGCTCCTCAACGGAATAAATGGTTATAACCCTGAATATGGTACAAAATGTATAAAATTAAAGTCATCTTTCCACTTGAGGTGAACAAGAGTAGGCAGCTTTTTGCATCCTTCCCCATTGCTCATACACACATGCAGGGGTTTTATTTATTTATTTTTACCAACATAGAATTATACTATATTCATGACCCTGTACCTTTTTTCATTTAAAATATGGAAGTCCTTATAAATCAGATACAGAATATTTTTTCCATTTACTTACAGATATATATGTAAAATAAATATAAATGATGGATTTTGCTTACCTCTTACAATACCACTTAGAAGTACTGATTTATTAATCCATTTAAAAATATCTTATAGCAATCCTTTTTCATTTGTTGTTACAAACTTTTTTTTTTAAAATATAGAATGCTTCACGAATTGCATGTCACCCTTGCACAGGGGCCATGCTAATCTTCTCTGTATCGGTCCAATTTTAGTATAAGTGAGCCCTGTTACAAACCCCTTTTTAAAAATTGTATTTATTGGGGCACCTGGGTGGCTCAGTCGTTAAGCGTCTGCCTTCGGCTCAGGTCGTGATCCCAGGGTCCTGGGATCGAGCCCCGCATCGGGCTCCCTGCTCCGCGGGAAGCCTGCTTCTCCCTCTCCCACTCCCCCTGCTTGTGTTCCCTCTCTGGCTGTGTCTCTCTCTGTCAAATAAATAAAAAAAAATTCTCTAAAAAAAATAAAAAATAAAAATTGTATTTATCTATTAGAGAGAGTGAGTGTACGAGCAGGGGGAGAGGCGAAGGGAGAGGGAGAAGACGACTCCCTGCTGAGCGTGGAGCCCAACTGTGGGGCATATCCCAGGACCCCGAGATCATGACCTGAGCCAACTGAGCCACCCAGGTGTCCCTGTTACAAACCTTTTTAATGAAAATACTATGTCTGGGGGCGCCTGGGTGGCTCAGTCGGTTAAGCGGCTGCCTTTGGCTCAGGTCATGATCCTGGGGTGCTGGAATCAAGCCCCATGTCCAGCTCCCTGCTCAGTGGAGAGCCTGCTTCTCCCTCTCCCTCTGCCTGCCACTCTGCCTACTTGTGCTCTCTCTCTATCTCTCTGTCAAATAAATAAATAAAATCTTTAAAAAAAAAAGAAAAGAAAAAATACTATGGCTATTTGAGTCAATTTTTTTTAAAGATTTTATTGAGGGGCACCTGGGTGGCTTAGTCATGGGCATCTGCCTTCGGCTCAGGTCATGATCCCAGGGTCCTGGGATCGAGGCCCCCCCATTCATTGGGCTCCCTGCTCAGCGGGGAGCCTACTTCTCCCTCTCCCTCTCCCCCTGCTTGTTCCCTCTCTCGTTGTCTCTGTCAAATAAATAAAATCTTTTAAAAAAATAAAGATTTTATTTATTTATTTGAGAGAGACAGCATGAGTGGGGTGAGGGGTAGAGGGAGAAGCAGACTGCCCACTAAGCAGGGAGTCCAATGATGCAGGGCTCAAATAAGTATATTAAGAGTGTATCACACAATGAAATACCAGAGAGCAAGGAGAACTGAACAAATTACAACTACATACCATGATACAGATGAATCTCACAAACATGTTGACTGAAAAAAGCCCAACAAGATTCCGGGACACACTGCATGATTCTGTTGTACAGTTTTAAGAGGCAAATCGAGTTTTTGTTGTTACAAGTTGGACAGTGTTTACTTTTGGCATAGGAGGGTGGGTAGGGATTAGGAGGGGAAGACTACTTAAGAGTGCTGGTAATGTTCTGTATCCCAGTTTGGGTGATGTGACATGAGGGTGTGTTCAGTGTGAAAATTCAATGAGGTGGACACCTGTTTGTCGTTCTTCTCTATGTATATTTGAGGAAAAAAGTACACAAATAAGTAACATAGTAGTTGGGCCTGTGGAATCAACCTGTTTGTACTGAAGCGCATTATGTAGTTCATCATTTGAAAAGTGAGCTCGTACCATCATCATTCCTATTGGGTGTAGTGCAAAGTTTGGGAATTGGACTTAGAGGATTCCGTACCACCTGGGAAAATGTTACTACAATTTCCCTGAGAAAAGATACAAAATGGAGATCGTAATTATTTGCTCAGACACTTGTTGAGCAGACAAAATCACCGTCCTCACAGAACTCAGGATAGACAACGTGACAACATGCAAAACTAAAATGAAATGGAACCAGCAAAACCCCAAATGGCAAAGAATTAAAAGCTGTCCTTTGATGTGAGAATATGCGACAAAATCATGTATCCCATGAAGGCCACACAGGAAAGCTATCCTTGCAGTTAATTTAAGAGTTTAAGATGCTTAAATTGTACCTTACGATTACTTTAGCAAAACTGGCATCAAAAAACAAACGCCGTTGGGCGCCCGGGTGGCTCAGTTGGTTAAGCGACTGCCTTCGGCTCGGGTCATGATCCTGGAGTCCCGGGATCGAGTCCCGCGTCGGGCTCCCTGCTCGGCAGGGAGTCTGCTTCTCCCTCTCCCACTCCCCGTTTGTGTTCCCTCTCTCGCTGTGTCTTTCTCTGTCAAATAAATAAATAAAATCTTGAGAAAAAAAAGAAAAAGAAAACGCCGTTAACACCGAGAACCCCGACAGTAATGCCGTGGTAATACTGAGGTACCGTGGGACATGTAGTTTCCAACGCCGCTGGGCTTTCTCTCCCACCTCCACCCCAACCCTGGCCAATAAAACAGGACTACCTGGGCAGCGGGCCTAATCTGAAAGGCCAGGACCTGCGGGGTGGCGCGGTGGCTACCACAACAGACGACGACCTCCACGTTTTTCTTCCATTCGCCTGCGAGGCGGACGCGCAGTGATTACGTCACCTTCCCACGCCGCCGCCGTCGTTTCCCTGGCGACCGGTGCGCGCTCAGCGCGGAGGCGAGGGAGATGCTGGCTAGGCGGCAGCGAAATCCTCTGCAGGCCCTGCAGCGCCGCAGTCAGGAATTGAAGCTACAGGTATCGTCCGGCTGTCCAGCCGGGGGCCTGGGCACCACGAGGTGGCTTGGGCTGTGGCGGCGGGCGAGATCTGGGGTGCACCCTAATCCTGGCAGCCTGCGCCGACCCACTTCCTTCCCGAGTTATAGCGCTCCCTCCTCCACCCCAGCATCCCGGCACTAACCCCGATTCTAACCCCTCCTGCTCCTAAACACAACCCCCGGGAAGCTGAACCTCCCGAAAATCGTGACCCATCGACCCGTCCTCCCCCTCCCCTTAACATCTCAGTCTCCAACCTGACAACACCCATAACCCACCTCACCTCCAAATTTAATCTTAACAATAACCTTTTCCAACCATCTCCGCGCCCATCGCTTTCCTCCACTCTCCATTGCCCCCTTACCTTTGAGCCATCTTTCAGTGAAGGCTGTTTTTGCTTCACATGAACTCAAACCAAATATGTGTCAAAGAATAGTCCTAATAGTAAGAAAAATATTAGGATACGACAGATTAGCAAAGGAGATGAACTAAAGAAGTGCAAGGAACTCATAAACATGAGAAAAGTCAACTTAAAAAATAATCAAGTAACTGCAAAGGAAATAAACTATCACAAACATTTAAAAAATCTCAATGGTCAGTACTGGGGAGGGTGTGATGAAACATGAACTTATATACGCTGCTCCAGAGTATAAGGTACAGCATTTCTGGAAAGCAGTTTGACAAGATGTAGTAAATATTTACGGTCCTAGGCTGGGTAATTACATTTCCAGGGATTTTCCATACATAATAATAAAAAATTTATTGGGACAGAGATTAATGTATAAAAGTGTTCATCGCAATATTACTTATAATAGAAAAGACTGGATATCACTTAAATGATCAGTAATAGGGGAATGGATAAATAACTTAGGATGGGATATAATAGTATGATTAAAATTTGTTAAAATATTTTAGTGTGTTAGGGAAAATATTTGTGATAAAATATCAAGGTAGAAAAAATAAGATATAAAATTGAACATACAGTATTTCAATAAAATTATTTTATATCTAATATACTAGAAAAAAGATTGAAGGAAACATCCCAGGATAGTAACTGTGTGTGCTAAAATGTTTATTATGTTTTTCTTCATACTTTTTGGTATTTTCATAATTTTGAACACCAAATATATATGACTTTAAAAAATACGAAGAAAAAATAAGTAGTAATTAATGGTTTGTTAATTTTTTCCAAAATTCTTATTTTGCTTTGCTAATTTTACTGTTTTTATTTGATCTACTACTAAATAAAATTATTGTCTAATCTTTGATAGACAAGAGATTTACTGAGTGCTCATATTTGGTCCTGTTTTGGACTCTCATTTAAAAAGTACAAAGATTTGGGGCTCCTGAATGGTCCTGGGATCGAGCCCCACATCCTGCTCCCTGCTCAGTGGGGAGCCTGCTTCTCCTTCTCCCTCTCCCTCTGTCTCCTGGCTTGTGCTCTCACTATCTCAAATAAATAAATAAAATCTTTAAAAAAGGGCGCCTGGGTGGTTCAGATGGTTAAGCGTCTGCCTTCGGCTCAGGTCATGATCTCAGGGTCCTGGGATCGAGTCCCGCATTGGATTCCCTGCTCAGTGCAGAGCCTGCTTCTCCCTCTCCCTCTGCCACTCCCTCTGCTTGTGCTCTTCTGTCTATCTCTCTGTCAAATAAATAAATAAAATCTTAAAAAAAAAAAAAAAGAAAAAATCTTAAAAAAAAAAAATTTAGGGCGCCTGGGTGGCTCAGTTGGTTAAGCGACTGCCTTCAGCTCAGGTCATGATCCCAGGGTCCTGGGATCGAGTCCTGCATCGGGCTCCCTGCTCTGCGGGGAGCCAGCTTCTCCCTCTCCCACTCCCCCTGCTGTGTTCCCTCTCTCGCTGTGGCTCTCTCTGTCAAATAAATAAATAAAATCTTTAAAAAAAATAAAAAATAAAAAATAAAAATAAAAAATTTAAAAAATAAAAAGTACAAAGATTTGATAGATAAATATTTCTTTTTTTTTTTTTAAGATTTATTTATTTATTTGAGAGAGCGAGAATGAGAGAGAGTACATGAGAGGGGGGAGGGTCAGAGGGAGAAGCAGGCTCCTCGCCGAGCAGGGAGCCCAACGCGGGACTCGATCCTGGGACTCCAGGATCATGACCTGAGCCGAAGGCAGTCGCTTAACCAACTGAGCCACCCAGGTGCCCTGATAGATAAATATTTCTTAAGTGACTTTTAGATTTTACAGTGGTGCAATAAAAACAAAATACTCTTCTGGTAGAAATAAAACTTGATGAGGCTTTGACTTAAGTGAGCTTCGGCTAGATGCTTAATATGGTTCTGTATCTGATTTTAAATTTAGTGGGACATTGGGAGAACCAGGAAAGTTTCAGAAGTAAACTACAAAGAAAATTATTACTAAGACTAAGATGAAACAGAGCAATTACGAAGATTAGTCAACCTGCAGAAGACTTGTCCCAGGAGTCTTCTGATAGCCTAAGTGTCTGGGAAGTGCTCCTTCATAGTGGGAGCTAGGTTTTCCCTGTCTCCACAACGGACACCTGAAGCAAAAAACAAACAGATTTCCAACTTGGTGTCCGTGGACAAGTAATCAAGAGTCCATCTGGGTCATGCCTATTATGACTGACTCTGTCACCAGCTGTGAATTTGTAACTAACACTCAGATGCAAAATAGCAAGGGTAGAGAAGAAACGAGTGAATTTCAATTTCTCTTCTTTCCTCTTCTTTCATCCACTTTATCTTCTCCACATCATCTTTAGAAAAGATGTACCCACGTGGGTACATATTTCTTTTGGGCGGACATTGGGAAGGTTGCATGTAGTGTTTAGAAAATGCTAAGTCAAGGTGTAAGATAGAAGAATGAGAATAAACAAACTTGTGACGTATTCATACAATACTACCGAGCAGCATAAAGGAATAAACTAATGATTCTATATGGCAGTGTCTCAAAAACATGCTGTGTGAAAGGATGACACAAAAGAGTACATCCTTTCTGGGAACTTTCTGGGGTAATGGTAATTTTCTATATGTTGATAGGGGTTAGAGTTACATGGGTGTATGCATTTGCCAAAACTCAGCAAATATATATTTAAGATACGTGCATTTCATTGTATATAAATTTTTTACTGAACATTGAACTCTCATTAGCGATACTCGTGGTACATCATTTATGAGGATTGCAGTTTATTTTGAAATACATAAAAAATAAGATGGATTGATGAATAGATAGATCAAAAAGGTATAGTAAAATGTTAATGGTAGAATCTAGGTAATGGGTATATGGGGGTTCACTGTGAAATTCTTTAAACTTCATTGTATGTTTAAAAGTGTTCATTGTGAAATGTTGGGAAAAGAGAATTAAAATTTTATTTCCTAAGGTTATATGGTATTTAACAATATATTCTAACAGTCTCTATTTATTGTAGGTTGATAGCTTGCTTTCTGAGAGTCGATTGAAAGGAGCTCTAGACGCCGGTAAAAGGAGAGATATTTACCAAAGGTAAAACCTACTGAATTATATAAACTTTCCAGAAACCATACTTACATTTCAATGGGCAGTATTTATAGCATAGAAATTGTTTGAGGTGTTATTTCTTTCCTTTTTTTATGGTACAATTTCTAAAAAGACAAAATAATAATGGGAAATAATACTGAGGTAACAGTGAATGAAATTTTCCAAAATGTATTTAAAAATACTTCTTGCAATTATCTTTATCTCCCAGGTCTAAATAGTGATGGAATGGTAAGATTAAGTAGAGAATTACAAATGTTATAAAGCAGCAACTTACATTTATTCTCTACTCTGTACATTTATTCTGTACTCTATTATGTCCCAAGCAGTGTGGTCCACACTCTAAAACCTCTTGATTAATTTTCACAATAACACCATGAATTACTTATTAATATCCTTGAGAAAAATGTTCCCACAGTGGTTTGTAATATGTCTGCCATGACTTTGCTATAAGACATTACAGTGGGCAGTCAATAAAAATGTTTGAAGACTGCTGAGAAATGCAGAATTCAGTCAAGCAAAAGAGAAAATTTCACTGCAGTCTCATTGGAGTTGGAGGCTTTGGTCCATTTGAATCAAATGGAAGGATTACCTCATGGTATAACTAAGGATCTAGGAAAAACTAAGCTAAACCTGAAGATTACGGACTTGTTGTGACAGCAACTATAAAAACTGCTCCGTGTCAGCATAGTGGCTGAGGCAGAGTTATGGTAGATCCTTGGCCTACTATAGCCTCAGATCCTGGGACCTGGTCAGAAAACTCTCAGCCCCTACGTTTGAATCATAATTGGCCGATTATATAGTAAAAATAATTTCTACTTAAATCTTTGAAGATATTGTCAGGTTTCTTTGCATTCAGTGATGATCATTCTTTTGTAATTGACTTGTTCGGGGCTTTTCTCTTCAGCCTTGGTGTTTTGAAATTTCATCACGATGTATTTAGGTGTCATTTTTATCCTGCTAAACACTCAGTTGGTCTTTTCAACTTGAAAACTCTTGTCTCTCATAAGCTCTGGAAGATTTTCTTTTCCTAGAAGATCTTTTTTTTTTTTTTACTTCTGTTTGTCCCTTTCTTCCTGAAACACCTTGGAGTCAGGTATTGAACCTCCTGGACTATTCTTGGTCTTTTGTCTCCCCATTAAAAGTTTTTGTTTCTGGGTGCCTGGGTGGCTCAGTTGGTTAAGCGACTGCCTTCGGCTCAGGTCATGAGACTGGAGTCCCAGGATCGAGTCCCGCATCGGGCTCCCTGCTCGGCAGGAAGCCTGCTTCTCCCTCTCCCACTTCCCCTGCTTGTGTTCCCTCTCTCACTGTGTCTCTCTCTGTCCTATAAATAAATAAATAAAATCTTTAAAAAAAAAAAAAGTATGAGGGACTAGTTTGATTATTCCAGATAGCAGTCCAGGATTCTTCTACTGTTGTATATATAGGTCTCTTTCCTACAATATTATCCCCTGAATGAGAGTGAAGTTCTTTGTAGGTGGGCAGGGATTTTCAAGGGGCAGGGAACTAGCTGTTAGGCTGAGGAATGCCCAATGCCAGAATAGGATGGGCTTTAACCCTGGTGTATAGAAAACTTATTTGGCAACTGTAATTCTCCCCAGGTCATTCATTAACTTTATTTTTTAGAGACGAATCCTCTGGTAAGGAGGGAGAGCAGAGAGGGGTGAGATAAGAGAAAGGGGAAGCTAGCTGGCTCAGATTTTCTGTGAACAGACTTTTTAAAAAGCCAGACTTCTTATCAAAGGGCCTTAAATAAATCTGAATTTAATCAGTATCTTTACTCTCTTCCTAAATAATATAAAGCCCCTAGATTGCCTTAAGATTGATTGCCTTTATAGGTTAGATGCTATGGATATCATTTAATATAATATAATATAATATAATATAATATAATATAATATAACATAACATAACATAACATAACATAACATAATATATAAAGCAAATCCCAGCCATTGTGGTTGTCTTCATCTGTAGAACTTCATAATATATTCCCTTAGGCACACATTCATTACCCCTCCCTCCCCAGTCCTTCCTACCTGCTGACCCAAATCATGGTGTTCTCTGCCTGGCAGATCTTGTTCCTCTTAGGGGCTTCTTCCTCTCTTTATAGAAGAACATGCTTCCACCTTTTTTCCATGCAGCAGAAATTTGTTGAAATACATCTTTTTTTTTTTTAAAGATTTTTTATTTATTTATTTGACAGAAAGAGACAAAGTGAAAGAGGGAACACAAGCAGAGGGAGTGGGAGAGGGAGAAGCAGGCTTCCCGCTGAGCAGGAAGCCCGATGCGGGGCTCGATCCCAGGACCCTGGGATCATGACCTGAGCCGAAGGCAGACGCTTAACGACTGAGCCACTCAGGCGCCCCAGAAATTTGTTGAAATATCTTGTTGACAGGTGGTCTCTCTTTCATTGTCCTACATTCAGGGTTTAATACCTTTTAAAATGTTTTAATCATTTTTTGTGGGGTTTCAGGAGGTGGTGAAGATGAATGTGTGCTTGAGTTTTTATCCTGATGCAGAAATCTTAAAATATCTGAAAATATGAGGAGTTTAATAATTTTATAGATATGAAGGGGGTCATTATAATAAATAATTTGTTTCATAGTTTTCTACTCTGGCTCTTAAGTGAAATTTTTGAGTCTAGTTTCAGTTAGGATTCTTCAAGGCACCTGTTAAAGCTAGTGTCTCTACAGTCAGTCTCATTCCACAAAAGGTCTGGAAGTAGGTTCTCCCAGGGTGGATAAGTGGCTCGTGATGTCCTCAAGACCAGCCCTTGCTGTCCCTGTGCTCTGTCATCCTCATCTAGCTGTGATGGCTCCTCTCACCTTTACAGAGTCCTCAGGTGTCCGTATCTAAAAGCAGAAAGGGTGAAGGATTCTTCACATGCTGCACCAGGGAGGATAAAATGGGAGGCAGTACCCAACATATTTCTTTCATGTTTTGTCGGCCAGCACTGGGCCACACACCGACCCCACCCACAGTGGATTCTGAGCCCTGTCAGTGTCGGTGTCAATGGGGGGCTGACCTTGTCAGCATAGACGCAGGTGGTGGAAGGGCTTTTGGATAAGTGACTAGCAGGGTCAGCCACAGTTTGCTATTTTCCCTTCTTTTCTGCCTCTTTCACAAAAGATTTTTGTCCCCCTTTTTGCTACTTCATTTCACTAGTTTCTGTAAGAAAAAAAATTACTCAAACAGCATAAAAAATATTGACTCTTGCAGGTCAATATTACAGTATTACAATAAAAAAATTACACCAACGGCATAAAAATATTGATTCTCACAGGTTCTTTTTTTTAGAGAGCATTTGAATTTTGATAACTGTCATTATTAGATGTAGCCCATTTTCAGTCATTTTTATACTTCTTACTGGGGTCTAAGACTTAAGCTACATTATATGAACTGTTGTTGGAATAATTAAAACACTGTATCCATCTAGATAGGCCAAGCTTAAAAGGGGAATGTGCTGAGGTGGGAAGAGGCCAGCTGTAGAACCCTAAACTCTGTCTTCACATGTTTCTCCACCACTGAACAACTGTGACCCCTTCTTAGAACCTCACCTTCCTTCTGCCGGAGTGAGAGTTGGTGTGAGGCTCAAATGAGGTGGCACTTGCAAAGTGCCTAGCATTATGCGTTCTGCATGGTGCACTTTGTCATTATCGTCCTTAAGGGTGTCTTCTGGGCTAGGTCCTGGGTTTATGGAATTTTAGAGCTGAAGAAGCATTTTGAAGTCCAGTGCTTTCCTTATTTTAGAGATAGGAAACTGAAACTCAGAGTCACTTAAGCTTTCTGAAGGTTGGCTGTCATACCTGTGTACCTTAGAGCATGTGAGGATCACCCAAGCTGGTGGGTGGAAAAGCAGTTACAGGTGAACTTTTTAACATCATTCATAGAATAACTAATTGCCTTGCCAGCTTAAAGACTTATGTATGATTTTTTAAAACAACTTTCTAGCCTGACAACAGAAAAATTAATATTTTTTTCTTTCTTTTGAAAATTTAGATGTTTCCAATTAAAACAGGCAATAGATGAAAATAAAAATGCTCTTCAAAAATTAAACAAAGTAAGTATTATGGTTAATGATATTACAGAAAACCTGTTTTTACACAGATGTTTTCATTACGTAGGAATTCATTAGAGTGGGTGAGTTCCCGGGTTTGCTTAATGGTGGTGAAGTCTAACTGTGATCAGTGCCGACTTGCCCGACTGGCTTACTGAGTGTGTGCTTTGGAGCAGAAAAGCCAGGCCTCTAAATGCTGAGAAAAGTTCAGCTTTGGTGAACTTACCCAGCATTGAGGACCCAGAAAGTCCAGGAAGTTATTTTTAATTTTACATTGTGTAAGTTTTCTGTTTTACAGTTTAGAGTTGTTTTGATTTTCATTACACTGTGGGGAGAGTACATAATCGGGCCCTGAGTAAGTGGTGAAGAAGCTTCTTGTATCACATGGCAGCTCTAATGTCAGTGACTCTGCAGAAATAGGAGGAACTAGAATTTACTCTTGGAAGTTCCTTCAGGATTTTCCCTGTTAGCATGAGCCTGAGCTTCAGCTAAGTGTCCAGGGCCAGAGATTGACAGAGCATTTAAAGTGGAAGGCATCTAAAAGTCATCTCCCTACCCACATTCTGAGCATCTCTTCCCAATTTCAGTGACACAAAACTCTTGAATTTAGGAGGCAGGCTGACCCTAAATTTGAAATCTAATTATCCTGTTTCACAGGTGAGGAAGCTGAGTCTCCCAAAGGTGAAGCAGCTTTCTTAATGTCCCACTCCCAAAAAGTGGCAGAACTTGGGATTGGCACCTGTCTTTTTGACTCCAAAGCCTATCTTCTGTCTGGAACCTATCTCTTACGGACTATAGAGGGTCTGGAATAGCTAACAAGAAAACAAACAAAAAACCAAGTAGTATAATTTTATTTATTTCTTCATTTGGGTTACATTTCAATATAATAATCTACCTTTCTTTTAATCTTATTTCTCTAAGGTAGCCTAGTCTCATGTTGACATTTACTTTATCTTCTAGAACTTACTGGAGTATTTTTTTCCTTCTAAAATAAATATAATAAGAAACTGAAATAAATTTTTCAGTGAAATATACTTATATTCTCTCATAGGCTGATGAACCTGCTCCTGTCGGGAACTATAATCAGAAAAAAGAGGAGGAGCACAGTCTTTTGGATAAGCTTACCCACCAACTGCAGGAACTTGCCGTGTCCATAAGTAGAGAAAATATAACTGAGTATGCTTCTTTCCTTACTTTCTTTCTCTCAGATATAATGTCACCAACAATTTTAATGTTTGACTCAGAATAAAGACATATTAAGAGTATAGATATAAACAAATGGTGATAACAAGTATAATCAGTTGACATTTATTTATTGTGTATAGTAGAAAGTCTTAGATCCTATAAAAGATGTGAAGAAGTGAAAGTCATAATGTCATTATCTGCCCTTAGGTAATTTAAAATCTAGTTGGGGAAACAAAAAAGCGATCTGAATAGCTAAATAAACAAGTGTTAGAAAATAAGGATGATGCTTCTAATGTCAGTGTTGTTACATAAAAAGAAATTATTTGGATTGTCTATTTGCGTCCTTCTTTCATAAATATTCTTTAAAAATTAGAGGCAGAAGTATGCATTGTCTGCTGTAGTAGATGTTAATAACAGCCTTTGCAAAGTGGAAAGAAAACTTGATGGTATAAACAAACCCAATTTGTGGAAAGCAAAAAGGAAAAAAATTAACTATTTAGACTCTTCAAGTGCTGTTCACGTACTTTTACACTATCCTGGGAAAAATGTTAAAGGATGTAGATGCAAGGATTCTAGAATTTCCACTGATTTCCACTACCGAGAATGACAATGTAGCTGGTTTGGGACTTAACCTTCCTACCATAAACAGCTATAAAATCTGGACAAAATATATAAAACAGCTGGTCGAAGTCACTGAGCATCAGCCAAGCAGGGCTGATGGCCTTAATACAGGATAACAAAGGAACTTGAGTTCTACATTCACCCAGATCCTCTCCCTGGGGAAAATTTATGGGCTGTGGTACAGGAAGGTGGATCCTAAACAGGGAGCAGCAGTATCACTGAGCTCAGGAGGCAGAGGTCAAATTTTGGAGTTCCCAAAGCCATTGGGACTTCTGGGAGAGAGAAAGGAGTTGCAAGAGACAACTACAGAAATCTGAATAGACTCCTGGGCTACACAGCATGATTCCAGAAGCACTGGCAGAAAGTACCTTCTAGGAGACTGAGAGCTTAAAAGATTCTGGAAGTTATGCAATCCTGGAGAAATACTGGCGTTTGTACCCAGTTAGAATAAAGAGACTTTGGTGAATGCTTCAGGCATTTAGTGGAGATCACAGAAGGCCTTAGTCATGCTGTCATTGTCACTGCTGTTATTAGGAGTAATGAAAATACCCTAATACTAAGAACTGTGATCTTGAAATAAAGACAAGACTAAAGTAGATCTTGTCCAAGCCTAAAACCAGACCTTAACAGGAACATGATAATTTAACTGTATAACAGAGTAAAATTCAACACTATAAAGGAAGATGACATAATCCAAAATCTCTAAATGTCTCATCCATAATATCCACTAATAAGAGAATTACTGGAAGTACAAAAGAGCAGGGGTAAGTAAATAATCAGCAACTAAATAATAAGATAGTCAATAAAAGCAGACTTAGATCTGAACTAGATAATACAATTAGCTGACAAGGACTTCTAAATAATGATTAATATGTTAAAAGAAGAAAAGATGGATGAAATGGAAAAAAGTGGAGTATTTTAAGAACATTCAAATGTAGAAAATGAACATTCTCCAGCTATAAAATATCTGATGAAACAATGACTGAGAAGTTTCTCAGTTTGAGTCAATATATAGATTCAAAGAGGTGGAAAATGTCATATAATAAAGAGAAAAAATAACCAATAGAAGCTCAGATGATCCAAATGTGAAAATTAGCAAACAAGAACTATAAAACAGCTGTTTTCAACTTGTTAAAGAATTTGTTGGAAAAGATGTATAGCTTGGATGGATAAGGAGGAATCAAGCAGAGAAATGGCAGCTAACAAAATTTATAGCTTTAAGTGTATACCTTAGAAAAGAAGAAAAGTTGAGTATCAGTTATTGAAGTTTCTAACTTAAGAAAACAAAAAGAACAAGAGATTAAATCCAAGGCAAGTAGATAGGAGGAAATAATAGAAATAAGAGCAGAAAACAATAAATAATAAAAAGACATAGTAGATAATATCAATAAAGCCAAAAGTTGGTTCTTTGGAAGAATTAATTAAATGGATAAATCCCTAGCAAGACTGATCAAGAAAAGAGAAAGAGAAAGGAAAACAACAACAAGAAAACAGGGATGAAAACTAATCACTACAGATCCTATAGAAATTAAAAGGATGCTGTGAAAATATTATGAACAACTTTATGCCAAGACATTTGAAAATCTAGATAAAATAATTTCCTTGAAAAATAAAAGGTACTCGACACAAGGTGAAGAGAGAATCTTAATAGTCCTGCTAAAATATCTACTAAAGAAGTTGAATGTGTGATTAAAAACCTTCCTACAGAATAAACTCTCAGGTGGCTTCACTGATGAATTGCTGCAAACATTTAAAAAAGAAATAATACGAGTATTACAGAATCTTTATAGAGAATAGAAGAACATATCCCAAATCATTTTATGAGCTTTAGATATCAAAACCTGACAAGAATATTATAAGAAAAATAGCAAGGCCCTCATGAACACATGAACAAACCCAATATAAAATATTAGCAAACAGAATCCAGTATCATTTCAAAATGACAATACAGCATGACTAAGTGGAATTTATTCCAGGACACAAGGTTAGTTTAACATCCAAAAATCAGTAATTAAAATTCACTCTTAACACAATGAAGAAGAACCATGAATAATCATGTCAAATTCCCATTATCCTTGGCAACATTTTAGAATAATTGACTCATAAAATAAGTGCAAAAGATCTCCTAAAAAAGGAAAGGGGCACTTGGAAAATCAATATGACATATTTTATGGGTTTTTATTTTTATGGTGTAAAAATTTTGTTAAGTTACTGTTTATGTTTAGGTCACTGTGGTATGAGGGTATCCTACAAATATTTTAAACCAAGGGAACCCAGTACTCTTTATTCTGGAGAATATCTCATAATTGGCTGGTTTTATATTTAGCAAGTTTCATTTGCATCAGTCTAAATATATTGTTATCCCTATTTTTAAGATAAGCTTCTCTAATGTAAGCTTTAGGAGAGCAAAGATCTCTGTTTTGCTCATTGTCGTATCCCAAGCACATACTGTCTGTCACACAGTAGGTGCCCAGGAAACGTTTGATGACTTTGCTAAGTGTTGAATGACAAATAAAGCTCAGAGAGATTTAGTGACTCATCCAAACTAGTATTATTTTAATTCTTCTCTCTTCCCTCACCTCCCATTGTACCTCCTTAATACCTTCACAAACGTCTTTCTCTTCATCCTAATGCTAGTTTTTTTTTTTATTATTTAGTTCATACTCTTGTCTTGTTTCACTTTAACAGCCACCTTTGCCTCTAGCCCTTTTTCCAATGTGTTCCCCACATTGTAGCCCGGTCATCTTTTCAAAGTACAGATGAGATCATGACCTTCTCTTCATTCTTAGAGACTGTGTTAGAAAGCAAGCTCACATGGGTTGCATTCTGCTCACCTCTTTTCAGCCTCATCTCTTTCTTACTCATTTCTTCAAGCCTTGTCCTACCATTCGTGAGCTACTTGAGGTTCCCTCAACTTGAGCCTCCTTTCTCCACTCCCTCCGCCTCCTTTCTATTTCCTTTTTAATTCATTAATTCCAAGTCATCCCTCCAGACCTAATTCTAAGCCTTTTCTTTTTTTTTTTAAAAGGATTTTATTTATTTTTTTGAGAGAGAGAGAATGAGAGACAGAAAGCACGAGAGGGAAGAGGGTCAGAGGGAGAAGCAGACTCCCCGCTGAGCAGGGAGCCCGATGTGGGACTTGATCCCGGGACTCCAGGATCATGACCTGAGCCGAAGGCAGTCGCTTAACCAACTGAGCCACCCAGGCACCCCTCTAAGCCTTTTCCGACCCCCACCCATACAGTGTAGGTTAAGTGTCCTTCTGTGTGTTTCCTTAGTATCCTGTGTATACCTCTAATGTACCTATCGAACTATATTGTAATTACCCATTTTCTAGATTGTCTCACTGTAAGCTCCTTGAGGACAGGGAATTGTTTACCTGATTTACCAGGTTTGATATCCACTGTGTTTGACATGGACCTGACATACATCATTATCATCATCATAGCTGACTTCTATTAAAAACTGTTGGTGGGCAGGCACTGTTCTAAACCCTCTGCAGATTTGTAACTCATGTAATCTTCATGACAGTCCTGTGAGGCAGGTTCTATTATTACCGTCACTTTACCAATGAGAAATGGAAAGCTTAAAAGAAACCTATGCAAGGTCACTCAGCAAAGAGAGGACAGAGCCCGAATGGAAACTCAGAGTCCGTGCTCTAACCACTGTATTACAGTGCTCAAGCAGCATTTGCTGAATGGATGGATGAATCCAAGACTTGAATACATGTCCCATGGCCTCAAGTCCCGTGCGTGCTCTGCCGTGTCCCATACATGACTCAGATGTATTAACTCCTTCACCACTCAGTCCCTCAAGTCACATATTGTTCCCTAGATGGTAGAAACCATGAGTTGTGCTTTCTCCTTATTTCCTTTATTTGCCCAGCTCCAAATACGGGTAGGATCTTCTGTATGTAGAAGCTGTCCTCGTTACTTGATCTGTTCTTATATGTTATTTCAAGTGATCCTTATAGAACTATTTTTCACAGAATCGGGGCACCTACTGAAAGAGAAGAAGATGATGATTCTGCTGGTGAAGATGAAGAAGAAGAAGATGATGATGATGAAGAAGAGCGTGAAGAAAGTGGTGGGGAGGAAGAAGAAACAGAAGAGGAAGAGGAAGAGAAACAGGAAAATGAATCCCACCACCAGGCAACAAGTAAAGAATACATTGCCATTGGAGATTTTACTGCTCAGCAAGCTGGGGATCTTACATTTAAGGTAGAAACAAGACTAGAACCTAACCTAAGGATAAGTTTGCACACCTGAAAGAATAAGAAAACTCTAGCTATATGCCTATATTACATGTTCCTGGTATTGTTTTTAAAGACTCAATCTCTTTTAATAAAATAAGTAAAAATTATGATTTATAGACAGTAATCCTGTGAAATTATGTTATCAAAGTTATCTGGTAGGAGAATGGTGAAATTAAATGCTATTTTATTTTTGAAAATAGTTTCAGTGTTGATAATTTCTAATTTAGGGTCAACTTTCATTTAAAATGTTTTACTTTGTTTTGATTTAAGAAAGGGGAAATTCTCCTTATAATTGAAAAAAAACCTGATGGCTGGTGGATAGCTAAGAATGCCAAAGGAAACAAAGGTCTCATTCCCAGAACCTACGTGGAGGTTAGTCTTTATTGTTTAGTCTTTCCCTTTTTCTCCTTTGAAGACTTTTTCCATTAAAAAAAATTTTTTTTCAAAACTTGTCTTCATTTTTAATAAAACGTTAAGCTGTATTCTTTGATCAATTGACTAGTGAATGACTTGAGATATAGAATTTACTTTAATTTTAGAGGGACAGGGCATGGGGAAAATCTTGTGTGTTAACAGTCCTGGGGATCTGTGAAGTGCTGTTATGCAGGTGAGGCCTAGAATGTTATGACACAAAGTGCTTTGTGGATTAATGCTGATCATAAAAATTAATAGTTTATTGTTGGTTGTCAAACGAAACCACAGTTAACTTTCACTAATATACGATCGTATATTAAACCACAAACTGTAAACTGTAAATGCATTTATAATTATCTCATAACCACACTGAGATGTCTTTTTTTCTGACACCACTTCTAACACTTAATTGTGTGATTTTTTTCTAACACCAGATACATGTTATTTTCCACACCAGTTTTCTGAAACCAATCAGGTGTCCAACAATTCAATTCAATTATGACACTAACTCCTGGAGTTAGCGTAGACCTGTCAAGTTAAGGGCTTACCCCCGGAGCCACCCTAATTCAGATGCCAGTCCCAAGTTCCATGGACCACCTGTACTTCTGAGTGACCAGCTATAAATTCAGTTCCCACATGCCTCCTCAGGTTTGATCATTTGATCGAGGGACTCCCAGAACTCAGGTGACCTTACCTGTGTTTACCAGTTTATTATAAAGGCTACAGCTCAGGAACAGCCAAATGGAAGGCATGGATAGGGCAAGGTATTGGGAAATGGAAAGAGTGGGACCTGGATCTTCCATGCCCTCTCTGGGGCCACCCTCCCACCCAGCACAGCATTCTATGTGGTTACCAACCTACAAGGCTCCCAAAACCCTGTCTTTTAGAGGTTTGTATGGATGTATTGTTATATAGGCATGATTGAATAAGTGATTGGCCATTGGTGACTGAATTCAGTTTCCTGCTCCTTTATCCTCGCTGAAGGTGAGGAGGGTGGTAGTGGTGGTGCCCTGAAAGTTCTAACCCTCTAATCACATGGCTGGTCCCTCTGGCAGCCTGCGCCCCACCCCCACCCTATCACCTCATTAGCATAAACTCAAGTCTGGTTGAAAGGGGCTTGTTATGAATAACATAAGACACTCCTATCACTCAGGAAGTTCCAAGAGTTTTAGGAACTCTTGCCAAGAACTGGGAATAAAAACTAAATATATATATATTTTTTATTATACAACATGCATTTGAAAAAAGGAAAAAAAAACAGGTGACATTTTTAATAATATATATTATCTAATATATCAAAATATTATCATTTCAGCCTGTAATCAATATTAAAAAATTTTTTTCTTTTTTTTCATACCAAGTCTTCAAATTCCAGTGTATATTTTACACCAAAATAGCACATCTCAGTTTGAAATAGTCTCACTTCAAGTGTCCGTAGCCACACGTGGCGAGTGGCTGCTATATTGCACAGTTCAGGTTTGAATCATCTTTTTCATTGGTAGCATAGTATTCCAATTTCATGTAGATGGACATGTTTCCAACCTGTAAGAACTACAGATTATGTTGCACGGAGCTACAGTTAGCTTCCACTGTGAGATACAAAAGATCCCCCCAAATGGTGGCTTAAATAAGGTAGAAGCATATTTGTCTCATGCATGGAAGAAGTGTGGAGGTAGGCAATGAAAGGAATGTGAAGGCCCCATCTAATATTTCACTCTGTACTTAAGTGAGATGCAAGTCTTCCAAAGGTTATCTAAGAGATAGGTAAATTGGCTGCTAGATATTTTAATGATTCCAAGAAGCAAAAGAAGAAAGGGGAATAAGAAGCCAAAAGGCATGACCTGCTGTCTTTTTAAGATGGTTTCCTGGAATTTACAAAAAACCTTCCAATGATATCTCCTTGATCAGAATTGAGTCTGTTGTTAACACCTAGCTGCAAAGAGGATTTGGAAAATGTAGACTTTTAGCTGCTCATTGCTAAAATCAGGGATTCTGTTAGAAAAGAAGAGGTGGAGGGGCGCCTGGGTGGCTCAGTTGTTAAGTGTCTGCCTTCGGCTCAGGTCATGATCCCAGGGTTCTGGGATCGAGTCCCGCATCAGGCTCCCTGCTCAGCGGGAAGCCTGATTCTCCCTCCCCCACTCCCCCTGCTTGTGTTCCCTCTCTTGCTGTGTCTCTCTCTGTCAAAAAATTAAATAAAATTTAAAAAAAAGAAAAAGAAAAAAGGTGGAGTTTAGGTGGTAGACAACCAACAACCTGTGTTGTAATCAGTCTGCACAGACATCTTTGTAGATTTGTCTGATTTATTCCCCTCAGATAAATTCCTAGGTGTTCATTGCTGGTTCAAAGGTTTACACCTTTATATTTTGATTTAGTTTGCCATTTTGCCTTTCAGAAAAGTCATGCTTATTTGTTCCCTCATCCCCAGCATCTGAGAATACTTTTTCCCCATACATGTGCCACGGATGGCTGCCATCCATCCTTTTGCCAGTGTGGTAGGCAAAAAGAGGCCCATTATTGTTTTTATTTGCCTTCATTGTACTGCTAAAAAGGTTGAGCATCATTTCATATACTTTATAATCATTTCTATGTCTTCTTTGTAAATTGCCTTTTCAGTTCTTTTGACTATTTTTCTAAGAGACTTTTTTTTTTTTTTAAAGATTTTATTTATTTATTTAATTGACAGGGAGAGAGAGAGAGACAGCATGAGAGGGAACACAAGCAGGGGGAGTGGGAGAGGGAGAAGCAGGCTTCCCGCCAAGCAGGGAGCCCGATGCGGGGCTCGATCCCAGGACCCTGGGATCATGACCTGAGCTGAAGGCAGTCGCTTAACCAACTGAGCCACCCAGGCGCCCGAGACTTTTTTTTTTAATTGTATTGATTTATAAGAGTATTGTAATATTTTCAGGATAAGGGTATTAACCCTTGGAAATCTGTGACAGGTATTTTCTTTTTTGACTTTGAACCGTGTTTATTTTTTATGTTGCTAAGTCTGTCAATGTGTCCATGATTTTTCATTTTGGTACTAAAATTGGAAAGGACTTCCCCATCTCAACATTATTTTCTTCTAACACTTTTCTTCTAACACTTTTCTAAACACTTTAACACTTCTAACTTCTTTTATTTCTACTTTCTTTTTTTATTTATTGAAATAAATTCTGCTTGGAATTTATCTTGATTAAACTTGCTCTCTACCTCTATCCTTGTAAATTTTTCAAATAGTGAAGTTATTGACAATATGTTGAAATCTTTTTCCCACTGATTTCTGATATACCCATCGTGTACATTCCCACCTATAGTTGAGCCTTTCTGAAAGTATTTTTATTGGTTGATTTTTGCATTAGGTAAAAAGCACTTCATATTTCAATAATTTTTCAGCCCTATGATAAAGAAGGCCAAGACTCAAGTGAAGGCAGCGAAGAAGATGTAGAGGTGGGGGACCAAACAGCAGAAGGGGAAGAAGTTAAACAAAGGTAAAAGGTGTGAGAGGATATCAGAGTGAGTTTAAGAAACTTTTTGTTTATTTTTACTGTTGTAAATAATTCAAGAATTTTTGAAAGGGAAACAACTTGCAGTTTGAGTTACTATTTGCTTAAAGATCAGTATTACTTTAATTTCGTGATTATTTTTAGTACATGATACTATCCTTTCTTGGTTTCATTTAGAGACTTTTAAGTTTTTAGAACTTATTGACAATTAAATACTTTGTTCTTTGATTGAAGACGCTCCCTAATTGAGTCAATAAGCATGAGCTGTCTGAACTGTCTGTGCACTCACCTTGCTATTTTGTGCCCCCCAGAACTGATTCTCACTGGAGTGCTGTCCGAAAAGCTATTTCAGAGGTTGGTATCACCTGTTCTGTTAATGATGTCATGTTTTGTTACCTAACAGTTCTGTTAGAGTGCAGATTCAAAACAGGATGGAGACTTTGGAAGATAACATCGGATCTTAAACAGGGTACAGGGCATGGAATGTACAGAGTATAAAACATACGGTTCTGGCTTAATAAGCCTATGCTCCAAGTAATATTTCTCCTTAGGCCTTTTCTGTAAGAAGAGTAGATTTGAGGACTTGCAACTATCTCTTACTGATTCTGCCTGAATTTTCTACCATTTGGATAAAGGCTGATGTTAAATTCAGTTAATATGAAAAATTCCAAAAAGCTCAAAAAAGTAAGAAATTATCCATATTCCTATCATTTAAAAGAGTTACATAACAAAATGAAAATCCACTCCTTCCCTCCCATAACTAATCACCATTAATAGTTCAGTCAATACCCTTTCTGATGTCTTACCCTACTTATCGCTTACATGGATGTGCTCATATGTATGTATGTGTGTGTATGTACACATATACAAAAAAGCCATGAATTCTTCAGTGCATATCAGGTTCTGATGTTAACTCATCTGTTACGTGGCAGTACATAGTAGAGTGGGACCGGGGTCAGGACGTTTTGATGAAAGATGTGCAGGAAGCACCTGGTCTGGAGCACAGAGCTCTGCTCACCGGGTATTGCATGGGGCTTAGGTTCTTGGGAGATAACGAGGATTGAGTGATGGATGGCATCCTCTGGAATTTGAGGTTAAACTGCTGTATTTGTCCACTAAAGTCTGTGTTTGTGATTTCCTTTTCTGGGTCGTAGTTGCTATAGTGATAAGAGAAAGTATCATGGAGGTGAGGAAACATGAATGAAAACAAGCAACTCAGTTTTGTCTTTACTGTCTTCAGCAGATAAACACTGTTGATGTGTTGACCACAATGGGAGCTATTCCTGCAGGGTTTCGGCCTTCCACACTCTTCCAGCTTCTGGAGGAAGGTAACAGGTGTCTTTGAGCCACCACAAGCTTAGAGTTAAGCAGTCAGGCTTTATGTCTAATGGTATTGTTTTAGCCAAAATAAGATGTTTAAAAAGATGTTGAATATCACATCTTTTTGGTACTCCTCATTTCCTTCATTTTTCCTATGACAGTGGAGGAAGGATCCCTGATCCTCTTAGATTCCAGTCTGTTTACCTGTGCTCTGGCTTCTAGCCCCTTTGCTTTATTTCAAAAAATATGACTCTTCTAATTATGAGTCCTTTTGTGTATCTTCAGCCCACCACCACCCCTTCCCTGCACCGGCTCCTGCCCTCATCAGTCTACCAGCATGCCTGATACCTTTAAGACCTAGCTCCTCTCACCCTATCCCACGTTAGCCAAAGCCTCCCTTTCTCTCCCTTTCTTCACAGAAAGATTTTTCTGAAGAATTATTATCCATTTGCATTTCCGTTTTCTTATTTGTTCTTGGATTTCTCTGTACTTAACAACATTTGTTCATAAGCTCATTAAAGAGAAATAATGTTGGGGGAGGATCTCCTATATACCCTGAGTTGTTGAGTTATCTGTGGAAGGGCTGCTTTGAGGTTCCTCGGCCAGGAAGGCTCTTCTCAGCCCTCCCTGAAGGCCCATCTCCTTCTCATCCTTTGCATCCCAGGGGAATTCCATCTTCTCAGAGATGTCCTCTTTGAAAAACACCCTTCCACTTGAGCACCCTTTATGGATCTAAGTTAGTTTATAATTATTTTATTCTCTCATCTACTTATTTTTTTAAAATTATTTCCCCCACTTAACTGTAAACTAATAAGGGCAGGGGCTGTATTTCTCTGATTCACATATGTATTTGCAGGTCCTAGCAGAGTGCTTGGCACACAGTGGGAACTCAGAAATGATTTCTCAAATGAATAAATGATTTTGTAATCAGTATTCTTCATAATAAAGTATGGGAAAACAGTATAATAATGGTTTTGTTTTAAGAAATAAAATTAATAATTATATATTTTTCTAAAGAGTATTTACACATTTTCTGCATTTTACAAAAATATTTGAATGGATCATCTTCATCACAGGGCACGTTATTGGCCTAAAAGTTTTTAAGATCTTTCTTAAAGCTGCTTTAAGATCAGCTCTTATGTGCTTCTGTTTTTACTTTTTCTACTGTTATTCTTACAGGTAAACAAATCTCTATTGGCATATATGTTTTAGAAAGCAAGTTCCTAGTAAGCAGCTTGACATTTTGGATGTCTGTTTCCTAAATTTGTCACATAACATCATACATTTTTGGCTTTGGATTTCATTCCTTTCTTTGTAAGAAGATAAAGGAAAAATTGTTTTTTCAGGGAATCAGTTTCGAGCAAGTTACTTCTTACAGCCAGAGCTCACTACTTCACAACTGGCCTTCAGAGATCTAATGTGGGATGCTAAAACAGGCACTGTGAGTATGGTTGCTATCAGCAGAATTATACCTTTCCATATTTGGTTATGGTTGCAAGTATACAAATAGCATGTAAATTGATTAATGCATTCTAGAAAATTAAAACATTATTTCTGTATTTTAATTTTTAAACACTCAGTGATCATTTCATTGCTAAGACAATGAAAGTGTCGCTCTCTTCTTCCATTGTTACAAAGGAAGTAATACTAGTTATCTCTCTTACTCATTCTTTGCCTCGGTGAAAAAGGGAATGATAATAATACTTCTAACGTAGGGTTATTATGAGAATTACAATGTATGTGTGGAGGGCTTAGAACAGTGTCTGGTACATGATAACTCAGTAAATATTAGCCAATATCAGTAGTAGTAGTAGTAACATTTTTTTTCATTAAGTGGGAATGAGGAAGTTGAAAGTCCTTTATGATTATACTTTTTTGGGGAGAGCTTAGAGTAAAAGATTCCTGGTATCCCGAGTACTTGAAGTAGGAAATACTCTTGATATTTAATTCTACTCTCTTCCTTTTTAGCAGATATGAACCACATTAGAGCACATCACTCCCCTTCCTGTTTACCTTCTGCCTTTTCTCCCTTCCTCTCTCAGAGCCTCAAGGGAAAAATAAGAGGACCCAGTGTGGTCAGGTTTTGTGGGGAGAAGTGGTGTAGAATTTTCCCCTCTCAATCCGAGCATTGCCTGGGACCCTTCTTAGTGTGAAGTATCTTTTATTGCAAGTCAGCAAAGATGTTGTATTTTGTCTGTTTAGTGTACTAGTACTTGAGTAAATGGCATTCAGTTTTATGAACTTGTACCCAGAGAGCTAAATATTCAGCTCTCGTTTCTTAAATTGAAAATGTTGACAAGCTGTTAGATATTGTCTCATTTTTTCAATGATATAAGGTCTTTAAATGAAAAGGCCGATGACCATAAAGCAGAATGTTGAGTTGAAGATGTTTTTATTTTTATTTATTTATTTTTTAAAAGATTTTTTATTTATTTGACAGAGACACAGCGAGAGAGGGAACACAAGCAGGGGGAGTGGGAGAGGGAGAAGCAGGCTTCCCACGGAGCAGGGAGCCCGGTGCAGGGCTCGATCCCAGGACCCTGGGATCATGACCTGAGCCGAAGGCAGGCGCTTAACGGCTGAGCCACCCAGGTGCCCCAAAGATGTTTTTAAATAAGAAACCAGAGTGCCAATTTATTTATAGACTTTCTGAACTATACTTGTGAAGTAAAACTGAATAATGCTATCCAATGGTCAGTGCATTCTCGCCATCAAAACATCTGTATAAGAAGCCAAGGAGCAATGTAGGTAAATGCTTGGAATTAAAACAAGGAGGAGCCAGATGGATAATATTAATGCCGGCTGTCATTGGTTATTATGCTATGGTGACCTACACTTACCCACATTATATATGAACTATAAGAATGAACCCAGAATGCCATGATTCCATATTAATGCCAGATGTCATTGGTTATTATGCTATGGTGACCTTCTACACTTACCCACATTATGTAAGAATGAACTGGAATGCAGTGATTCCATAATCAGGTCATTCATTTTACCTGATTGTACTGACTGTTTTTTCATTATGATTTTTATGTATTTATCCCCAAAATGCAAATATTTCAAATACAAAGATTTATGGAAAATTTACCTAAGTTTTTTATTTTAATTTGAGCAGACTATTGAAACTTTTTTTGTGTATATTTATGTGTAAATTTTTTTCATCCTTTTTTATTCTCTATACATTTTAAGTATTTATAAAAGATGCTTTGAAAATGAATTTGTTTATAAGCCATAAAATAAACCTATTTTATAACTAATTTTTCTCTCAGATTAGGTCAAGACCAAGTCGTGTTTCATTCATTCTGACCCTCTGGAGCTGTAAAATGATTCCTCTTCCAGGAATGAGCATCCAGGTTCTCAGTAGACACGTACGCCTCTGTCTATTTGATGGTAATAAGGTGAGCTTACTGAGGAGTAAATCAGTTCACATCAGTCTGGAAAAATATTTTGTTAAGGCCACATATTAAACATGTACTGCCTGGGGTATGTCTATGTCTTTGTCTCTCTCTCTCTCTGTATGCGTGTGTATACGTATAAAATAATATGTGATAGAATGCAGACCATAAGGGTTCTGATGACATAGGCTTAATTCCTGGCTCTTTCAGTTGCTAAGTGCATGATGTTCGTATATATATCACAGTTAACTCCTCTAAAGCCTTAGATTTCTCACTTACAAAAAAGGTACTGATGCCTATCTTCTAGTATTGTATATAGTTCACGTCTTGAGTGTACAGAATCTAAAGAATCTAAATGAAAGAATCTAAATGACTCTTAAAGAATTGATTTGTTTGTGAGATACAGCTTAAATACAGTGCTTAGCTGGAAATTTGTAGCTTTAACTGAAGAGCCAAAAAGAAAGATTTAAAATCAGTGATCTAAGCTACCAACTCAAGAGGCTAGAAAAGGAAGAGTGAGTTAAACCAGAAGAAAGTAAGATGGAGGAACTATTAGAGATAAGAGTGGAATTCAATGAAAAAAAAAAACCGTTAAACTTAAACAAAACAAACCTAAATTTAAAATGCCAAAAAAGAGTAGAATTTAATGAAATAGAAAACAGATGAACAAAAGAGAAAATCAAAAAAAGCAAAAGTTTATCCTTTGAAAAGTTTACTAAATTGAAAAATGCCTAGTAACACTGATAAAAGAGAAAAAGAGAAAAAGAAAACAAATGATCAGTATCTGACATGAAAATGGAGATCTCACCACAGATCCACAGACATTAAAAGGATGATAAAGGGATATCATAAACATCCTTATGCCAATAAATTTGACAATGTAGATAAATAGGTAAATGCCTTGAAAATCATAATTTATCAAAACTGACATAAGAAGAAATAGGAAAGTTGTAAACTCTGTTTAAAAAAAATTGAAAATGTAATTAAAAATCTTCCAACAAAGAAAACTCTAGGCCCATATGGCTTCACTGGTGAATTTCCCTAAACATTTAAGCAAGAAATAATAGCAATAGTACATAAACTCTTCCAAAGAACAGATAAAGAGGAAATGCTTCCCAACTCATTTTATAAGGCCAGGAAAAACATGATACCAAAACATGACAAGACATTACAAAAAAGAGAAATTACAAGACCAGTATCCATCATGAATAGTGACACTAAAATCCTAAACAAAGTATTAACAAATTGAATCTAGCAATATATAAAAAGGATAATATATCATGACTAATTGGAGTTTATTTTAGGAATTCAGTTGTACACACCTGTGTAACCAACATTTAACACTTGAAAATAGATCATTGTAATTTGCCATATTAACAGAACTAAAGTAGAAAAGTCATGTGATCATCTCAAAAGATATAGAAAAAGCATTTGACAAATTTCAACACCCATTCATGATTTTTAAAAAATTCTCAGCAGAGTAGGAACAGAAGGGAACCTCCTCAAATTGGTAAAGGGCAATAAGAGAAAGCTAAAGCTGACATCATCATACTTCCTGGTGAAATTTTGAATACTTTCCCCCAAAGATCAGGAACAGATCAAGGATGTCCAAGAAAAAAAAGATAACTCAGTTTTTTAAGTTGGCAGAGGACTTGAGCGGACACTTAAACAAATATATCAAAAACCAAGAGACATAAAAAGATATATGTAACATATAAGAAGTTCTCAGGGAAATGCAAGTTAAAACCACAGTGAGAGGACGCCTGGGTGGCTCAGTTGTTAAGCGTCTGCCTTTGGCTCAGGTCATGATCCCAGGGTCCTGGGATCGAGTCCCACATCGGGCTCCCTGCTCGGCAGGAAGCCTGCTTCTCCCTCTCCCACTCCCCCTGCTTGTGTTCCTGCTCTTGCTATCTCTCTCTCTGTCAAATAAATAAATAAAATCTTTAAAAAAAAAAAAACACAGATCCAACTATATGCTATGTATAAGAAACCCACCTTAAATATAATAAATATAGGCAGGTTAAAAGGAGAGGGATGAAAAAGATAGACAATTCAAAAAAGATAGTAATATTCAGAACAAGGAAAATTAGCAGGAATAAAGAGACACATTACATGATAAAATAGACAATTCACCAAGAAGACATAATAATTCTAAATATGTATATACCTAATATTAGAGCTTCAAAATACATGAAGTAAAACTTGATAGAACTGAAAAGAGAAACAGGCAAAACCCCAGTTATAGCTGAAAACTTTAACACTTCTCTCTCAGTAATCTGTGGGACAAGCAGACAGAAAATTAGTAAGTATATAAAAGAACTGAATTAACACCATCAACAAACTAGATCTAATAAACATTTTTACAACAGTTGACCCCAAAATAGTAAAATACTCATTCTTTCAAGTGCATGTGGAACATTTGCCAAGAGAGGTGGCCCTGAACAAATTTAAAAGAATTGAAATCATACAATGAATGGTCTTTGATTACATAGAATTGAATTAGAAAGCAGTCACAGGAAGATAACTGAAAAAAATCCTTAAATACTTGGAAATTCATGGACTAAAAGGAAGTTTCAAGGGAAATTAGAAAATAATTGGAGCTGAACAAAAAATGAAAATGTGTCACATAATTTGTGGGATGTTGATAAAGCATTGCTTAGACAGAAATTTACAGCACTATGGGGCACCTGGGTGGCTTAGTCATTAAGTGTCTGCCTTTGGCTCAGGTCATGGTCCCAGGGTCCTGGGATCGAGCCCCGCATCGGGCTCCCTGCTCTGCGGGAAGCCTGCTTCTCCCTCTCCCACTCCCCCTGCTTGTGTTCCCTCTCTCACTGTGTCTCTCTCTGTCAGATAAATAAATAAAATCTTAAAAAAAAAAAAAAATTTACAGCACTAGATACATTAGAAAAGAACTCTCAAATTGATAGTCGTAGCTCCCTCCTGAGAAGGTGATGCTTGGGTGGAGATCTAGGGATGAATCGACCTTAAGAGGGTAAAGGGAAAATGGAAGTGTGAACCTGGCCAAAGGAGCAGCACAGGCAAAGGCCTTAGTGGGAAAGGCCTTGGGGAAGGCCAGTGTGGCCGAGTGGAGCGAACAAGAGGAAATGTTGGATGGAATGAAATGGGAGATGTTAGGAAGGAACACAGTGTAAGACACTGTAAGCCATGATGTAAGGGAGTTTTGTCTTTATCCTAAAAACAGGGAAAGTCATTGGAGGAAGTGATATAGTTTAGATTTATGCTTTAGGAATATCTCTGGCTCTTCTTTGGAGATGAAGAAAAGGGGGGCCAGGAGAGACATGAGTAGACCATTTAGAGGCTATGGCACAGTGTGGTGGTCAAAGGGTAGCAACGTCATCTCCAAAAAAACAAAATCTGGAGCCATTTGCCCCAGATTAACCCTGGCTCCACCAGCTTGATATAAGACACTGACCAAATTACTTGGCCTTGCTCTCTCCCCTTTGTCATCTGGCACATATCGCTTAGGGTCCATGTGAGGATGAAATGAGTTAATATAACCAGTAAAGCACTTAGAACATACATAGAACATGTTAAGTGTGGCTAGATGAGATATAAGGCTAACAACATAGACTAAGGAAGTAGAGATGGAGATGAGAACTATGGCCAGAAGGATATTTAGACCATAAAAAACACAATTTGGTAATGGCTTGGAAATGGTGGGTGAGGAAGAGTGGGGTGTCAAACATGACCCGAATCTGGGTGAATGGCGGTGACATGCAGTGAGACAGGGAGCATCGAGAGCCGATCAGGTTTGGAGGACTTTGTGGGTTTAGCTTTGCTCATGCTGAGTATACTTTCGGCTCCCAGTGCCTTTCTTTTTTCTGTACTTGTGCGATTTTAGTGATCCTCCCTCATTTCTACACACCCTGTACAAAGCCACTGCCACTAAGAAGCCAGTAGATGTCACCAGTGACCAAGAAAAGATCAATTGCCTTCTTTGCTCAGATCTGGTTTGATACTTCACTTTACCTCTTCCTGTTCTCATATATGAGAACCTAAAGATTGAGATTTTATTTAAATAACATATCAGAATAATAGAAGTGATTCATTTAAAAATAATAGAAGTGAATTTATGTAACTAATTTATGTCAGATTCCAACTGACAAGTTTTAGAAGATATGTAATAGTTACACAAATATTCATTGCTATTTACTTAAGAGTGCTGCCCTAGTTCCAAATAAAAAGCATTATTATTAAAACTCTACATGCACTGAGAACCACATCACACAGAATTATATTTACTTCAGCAATCAAGCATAATTTAGAAAACTCAAGAGAATATCTGTTGTATTTACTCTCACTTTTACTCTTTTCATTGTTCTTCCTTCCTTCCTGATGTTCAAAGATCATATCCTTTCTGTTTAGAGAATTCCCTTTAACCATTCTTTCTGTTGGCTACAGATTCTCTTCATTTTTCTTTATCCAAGAATGTCTGTTTCCCCTTCATTCCTGAAGAATATTTTCACTAGATAGGGAATTCTGTTGTTTGGTTTTTTTTAGCACTTCAGAAATCTTGTTCAACTTCTTTCTGTGGTTTCTGATGGGAAATCCACTGTCACTAGAATTGGTGTTCCCCTATTGGTAAATCTAGGTGTTATTTCTCACTGCTTTCAAGATATATGTGTTTAGTTTTTGTACTTGTCCTTGGGCATGGGTTTCTTGGATTTATCCTGTTTAAGGTTTGCTCAGTTTCTTGAACTGTAGGTTTGTGTCCTTTGCCAAATTAGGGGATATTTTAGCCATTATTTTCTTGAATACTTTTCTAGCTCCAGACTTTTCTGGCACTCTGATGACATGAATGTGAGATCTTTTGTTATAATCCCACTGGTTCCTGAGGCTCTGTTTATTTTTTTCCATCGATTTTATCTTAGTTGTTCAGAGTGCTGATAGGAAAAGATATTTTCCTATCTTCAAGTTCACTGTTTCTTTTCTCTCTTTTTTATTCAGCATTTGAGTCCCCATTGAGTTGTGTGTGTTTGTGCACATGTGTGTTTTTTACTGTGGTTATTATATTTTTCAGTTCTAGAATTTCCACTAGGTTCTTCATTTTATCTTCTCTTTTTTTGTTGAGATTTCCTTTTTTCTTTCTTGACACTTTGTATTTCTGTATTTTAAATTTGTTTCAGACACGTCTGTAGTTGCTTACTGAAGTATTTTTTGGTGTCTACTTTAAAATGCTTGTCAGTTAATTCCAACATTTGTGTCATCTCAGTGTTGGTGTCTGTTGATTGTCTTTTCTCATTCAAGTTGAGATTTTCCTGATTCATGGTATGATAAATCATGGTATGATTTTTTATTGTATCTTGGACATTTTGGGTGTTAGGAGTTTCTGGATCTTATTTTAACTTGCGCTTTAGCAGGCCTCTGACACCATGCTGTCAAGGGAAGGTGGTGCCACCTCACTACTCCAGGTGAGAATGGAAGTCCAGGTTCCCCACTTGGCTTCTGTTCACACCCCTGGGTGTGATTAAGTTGCAGGAAGAATATAACTTAGGCGGCTGGAGATCTTGAAGAAAACTGAGGCTGTATATCTGGGCTGTTATCAGCATTGTCTGTCCTTAGTGGCAGGGTGATGGGCTACCATAAAATGCTCTTAGGGGTCACATTTCTTAAAAGGTCATTCGTATCTGAAATTTCACTTCCTTTTCTGATAAACCTGTTCCAGATAGTATTTCACTTACTATAATTTTTTACTAGTGCAAAGATCTGAGTCTGAATTTATTTCATCAGTTCTTTCGTTATTTTATAAATTAGTGCCATAACAGTTTTTTGTTACTCGTTTTTAAAGTTCTATATGTACCTGATATAAAAAGAAAACAAATTACAGAGTTGCACAAACTAAAAAGTGAAAGAACCCCCTTGAGGCCCTCTGTTCCACACAGTATAGCCTGTTCACTGCTGTTTGGGATGTAGAAGTGGTGACCTGTTAGGTTTTTTTCTTTTTAAATTTTTTAAAATTTTATTTATTTTAGAGAAGGGGGAGGGGCAGAGGGAGACCGCGAAAAATCCTCAAGCAGACCACCCCCACCCAAGCATGGAGCCTAGGGCTCGATTCCAGGACCCTGAGGTCATGACTGGAGCCCAGATCAAAAGTGGGATGCTCAACGTACTGAGCCAGCCAGGCACCCCTAGAAGTGGGGATGTTTTAGAGAGCTCTCTACAGCATGATCTCAAATAAGAAAATCTCATTTCAGGTTCTGAGCAACATTCATACAGTCAGAGCCACATGGCAACCTAAAAAGCCCAAAACATGGACCTTTTCTCCCCAGGTAAGGAATCTGCTAAAGGAATGGAATGAAACGTGAACCTCTTTTACCTGTTAAGTGATAGGCAATTGATTTCTGAAGCAAAGCTGTCCATGGGTATCTCTGAAATAACGTATTTAGGTTAAGCACAGAATATATGGGGCCAGATTTGAATCTTTAGATTAATGTTCTCTGAAGACTTTGATAAAAATTACTTTTGTTTCTGACTCATCAGAGTTATAATTCCTATGAATCATCTCATTCAGTGGATTTCGGGGTTCAATTCTAGGAAATGCCCCCTGATGAAAATGAAAACAAAAAGATAAATTTAGGAAGTGTTTTTCACAAATGAAATCAACCATGCTAATGAGAGCTGTGCTTTCTTCAGATAAAATCAAGGGTGACGCCCAGGGCTGGTACATTGTACCCAGGCACCATCAAGCCTGGAACAAAAAAAAGACTGGAATGAGGTTAGGTGCCTTCAAACCACGGAGTCCCTGTGACATAGATGTGAGTGAACATGAAGATTGGATATCTTGATGTTCTTATTATGATACTGTCTGTAGTTTATTTTACTTTACCTTTTTTCTGCCTCTACAGTTTCATTACTTTAATGTTTACTTCCCATAGCTAATTCCCTTGGGGCACTGCACCCTAAAAGTCCTCCATTAACCTTTCTCTTACTGCATCCGAAGATCTTCAAGCAGTAGGGGTTCAAGGAGAGGGCACAGGGCGTGGAGGAGGCTTGCGTGCTGCATGTGCCCCCGCTTGCTTTTTGCGCATCTCCTGGAAGTCCAGTTTGATCTAAGCGCCCTACTGCTTGTATTTCGGCACAACGCTTCACAGTTCTGATGTTGCATCTCTGTGTATATGAAGCATTTAGGGTCGAATTTTCTAATTTTTTCTGGATATAAAGACAAACTGTTTGGAAGAAGAAATAATAAGAAATTGTTCCTTTGTTGAGGGAAATTAAGCATCTGTTAGGTGTGAGACATTCTTCCTAGCCACTGTGGGAACTTACATGTTGGTAGAGAAGAAACATATACAGGTATAATAACAATAGCCTGTGTTTATGGAGCTCTGTCCATGTGCCAGGCACGGTGGTAGGTCCTCCTGGGCACGTTCTATGATCTCATTTAATCCTTGGAGTAGCCCTGTGGGGGCGGGGTCTGTTGATAACCACCACAAGGACAGAATGTCACGGTTGCCGGACTCTTAAGTGCTGTGGAAGCGCAGAAGAGGGTGACATTAATTCCAGCCCTCAGGCTCAGGGAAGCTTTTGTAGAAGAGAAACTAAACTTTGAGGGTTGGGGAAGATTTTATAGGCAAGACAGGAGGGTTTGGTTGTCCGGAGAGAGGAAAAGGAATGAACAAAAGAGAAAGGAAAGGAAAATTTGCAAGGCACACCTCGGGAAAGTTGAGCAAATGTGTGTATAAAGTCTTCAATTTTAGTTCTGTTTACAAAAAAACAATGGTTAAGTTAAATATCTTATTATATATGCAAACTATTTTTATAACACCTCTGAGGACTTAGGTACAGTACTTGTTTCACATTAGCCTCTACTCTCACCAAAGAGTGAGTGAAAGTAAAGGTATTTCCCTCAACACAAAACTTAAATTTTTTAACTTGAAATTACTGGTGTAGATGGGTCCAATCCACCTGCTTTCTGTTTCCTTTAAAAGACCGTTATTACGGTGCAAAGGTATAAACTACACACCGACAAGTAGAGCTGAAACCTCCCTCCCATTTTAAATTTGTATTAGTAACTTAGTTTTCTTTATTGTTTCAGGTTACTGGCATCTTGCCCTGCTTGCTTGATGGTGATTGTTTTATCAGATCCAATTCTTCATCTCCAGATCTTGGAATATTATTTGAACTTGGAATTTCTTATATTCGCAATGTATGTCAGTTGAAAGATAAAGCTTTGTAATGTATCAATTAAAGGGAAGTTTAAAAAAAAAGTCTATTTACAAGTAAAATAATTGAGGTTTTTCTACGTAATAAAATTTTAATCTCTTGAGGAATGGGAATGGTGGTTCTAATTTATATATAGCACTGCTTTTTCAGTAGCATTTACAATAAAAGTGTATTTGTTTATAACTTGAATGAACTCCAGTGCTTTTAAAGAATGAAGATTTGAAAAGGATGAGACTTTGTGAAAGTGATAAAAGATATTCAGTGGCATTGCTGTTTGACCTCTGTCCTAGAGGGTCAAGTTATACTTAACCTTGTGGCTGATGCTTCTAATTAAGGGACCTGACAGAGTGGTAATTTTTATAAAGGCACCAGAAACTTGGATTAACTCATGTCATGTAAACAGTTGAACCAGTAGGTATGGGTCTGTGATAGTCTTATTTATTTTTATTTTATTGAGTCTTTTATTTTAATTACAGTATGTTAACGTACAGTGTTATGTTAGTTTCAAGTGTACAGTATAGTGATTCAGCAGTTGTGTACATTGCTCAGTGCTCATCATGATAAGTGTGCTCTTAATCATCCTCACCTACTTGACATGATAGTAATTTAAATGTCTCCACATTCTAATAATACCTTGGTAGGTGTAGTATATATACTTGGCCTCAAGGTGACCCAGAGAACCAACTGCTATTATATTAATAGTATCACACCATCCTTTCATTTCTTTAAGGCAGATGCATCCAAATGTGTTATGGGTGGGTAGGACAGGAGAGGGAAGCAGGGCCCCAAGCAAGTCCCTAGTGGCTTTCAGCAGTTGACGGTGGAGGTAAAGTTCTGACGGATGATTAAAAAAAATGATTTAATTTGTGCATTCCATCTCTCATTGGGGCAAAGCTGCATAATCCCATGTAGTACTGATATGGTTTAGATCATTCCACAAATACATCATTTAAGAAACAATAGCAACAGTTGCCACATCATCAGGTTTACGGAATTTTCAAAAGTAATTTGACAAGATAGGATTTTCACTTTTCATACTGCCTTTGCCATCTGGCCTGCAAGGAAAATGGGACCCACTGTATTTCACTTTATTTTCTTGTACAGAATTTTTTAGTCCTAAAAGTGAATGCTAATTTTGTTCCCTTTAAAGGACTTGGTATGTGCTTTTAAATTTGGTTCAGATAATTAAATTTTGTATGCCTGTTTATTTCATAGTCAACCGGTGAAAGAGGAGAATTAAGTTGTGGCTGGGTGTTTCTTAAACTTTTTGATGCCAGTGGAATTCCTATTCCAGCAAAGTAAGTTGCCTATATATTCCTTCCAAATGAGTAATTTTGTAGAAATTCATTATTTAGAATCTGGATATCTCAGGTTTGCAGAGTGTATATTCTGTTAGCATTTCAAAAACTTGTGGGGAGAGGGCTTTTAATGTTGATCTTTTAATGTTCTTTGAAGTGGTATATGAAAACAGCATGCACAGGGTCATCTTAGAGAGGAAGAAATGCCACTTATAGAATAGGTATTTTAAAAGATGTTTACTCAGGGGTGCCTGGCTGGCTCAGTTGGGTGAGCATCCAACTCGGTTTTGGCTCAGGTTATGAACTCAGGGTGGTGAGATTGAGCCCTGCATTGGGCTCTGCGCTGAGCGTGGAGCCTGCTTGGGATTCTCTCTCCCTCTCCCTCTGCTCTTCTCCCACCCCTGCTCGCTCACTCACTCACTCTTTTTCTCTCTCAAAAAATAAATAAATAAATAATAAAAGATGTTTACTCTCTGCTGAGAATATTTTTCAGTAAATTCCTGTGGTATTAGCACATTTCACAGTGCTGAAACAGAACCTGATTCTCTCCAGAGTGGAAAAGCTAAGTCCAGGGTCCCCAGGTCCTCTGTGACTCTACCTTTCTCCTATAGGTGATACACTGAAATTGTAATGGCAGTCACTGTAAACAAATTTAAAACTTAAAACCAAAAGGCAGACTGGTACCAAATATCTGCATTATATACAGAATGGTCAGATTATTATCCCTAATATAAAATGGGTTCTCAAAAATGAATAAGAAAAAGATAGTCCAAGTTTTTAAATGGGCATACACAAAAAAATCTAAGTCTAGGATACAAACAAGAAATTCACAGAAGAGAGACACATGGGCAGTCATCAGGATGGTAATTAAGATCCAAGGTTTGGAATTATAACATTCAGGGCTCTCGGCCTGGCTCTGTCTGTGTAACTGTAAGCCAAGTTCCAGGTTCCTTGCCTGCAAGCCCCAATTTCCTCTTTTTAAAATGGGAGATTGTAATAGTTCCTACCCCAAAGGGTTATTATGAGGATTGATTCAGATAATGCTCCCTGCCTTCTGTGACTTCTCCTTACACCCCAGGGGCGGGCATGGCCTCTTCACCACAGGGCAGAGGTAAAAGTCCGGGCTCCACTTGTCCTTCTCTGACATCATCCCGGTGATAGGGAGAAGGGCACGGCCTCCCAGAACGTAAAAGTCCAGTCTGCTTGTGATTTAAATTTGTTTTGTTTTGTTTTTAAGAATGTCTAGGGTTTTTAGCTGTACCTAGTGGGAGGGTAAAGGGTGTTTACTCCATCTTTCCAAAAGGTAAGTCACAGCTATTTTTCTAAATGAGGTAGAAGCCCATGTATTGACACTGAAATATTTCCAGTGTATATTATGATATGGAAAAAGCAAGTTGCAGAATAGTATGTGTACTATGGCTCCATTTTTTTTCATGAAAAACTGTATTTGTGTGTATATGTGGGCGGGCCTATGTAAAGTGTTCCCAGAGGTTGCCTCTGAGGCACAGAACTAGGGAGGTAATGCAGTGGGATTAAAGAGGACTTTTATCTTATACTTTCTATACTTAGGTAATATGCAACTTTGAAAGAAAATGTGTCAGTTTTGAGATTTACTGTGTATATATATATATTTGTTTGCATTTGCATAGAAAAAGGTAGGGCAAGGGCCTTACCAGACTAGAGGGGATGGGATGGGGAGGGATGTTTCGGGGTTTTTTTGGTTTTGGCTTTTTTTTTTAAGATTTTATTTATTTGAGAAAGAGAGAGCAAGAGCAGAGGGAGTGGCAGAGGGAAAGGGAAAAGCAGACTCCACTAGGCGGATCCCAGGACCCTGAGATCATGACCTGAGCCAAAGGCAGACACTTAACTGACTGACCCACCCAGGTGCCCCTGTTTTGTTTTTTACTTATCATTTCTATGCCATTTAAGCATTTGAAAAATACATTTAAAATACATCATTAATACATTCATTAATGTAAATCATTAAAGTCAAAACACTTTAATGGCATCAATTAATTTTTCTCATTTTAATGGGGAAAAATGTATTTTCTATAGTTCAAAGTTAAGAAAGAAACTTTATTTACTGAGGTAATACCTCACAGAGGAATCAACAACTTTTATTCTCATTTAGCAATGAAACAAATAAAATGTCTGGGAATGTTATCTGTGCTAAAAAATATTTCACTACTGATTTCAGTGTTTCAAAATAGAAACACGTGGTTTTTTGCTATTCTTTTGTAGAACGTATGAACTCTTCTTGAATGGTGGCACCCCTTATGAAAAAGGTGTTGAAGTGGACCCTTCAATATCCAGAAGAGGTACAGCTCTTAGGCATTGATTTCTCTCCTTCCCTGAGAAAGTACACAGAATATGCATCAGCAAAGAGAGCTATATTCTAATAAGCATAACATTCTTCACTTGAATTCACATTTTTAAAAATAAGTCATTTGATAGTAAAATCCTAGTCACTTTTATCTAAGTGCTTCTTAGATAAGGTGATAGATAGATAGAATGAGGACCATTCATTAATGCCTTCTCCTTGAACACTGGGCTGATAACTTGTGACCGCCACAGAGTTAATGACATAGACTAACTCCCAGGTTGCCTGTTGCTGGGCTAAAGGACGTAGACATTTCAAATTGTGGTACACATGCCGAGTTGCCTTCCACAAATATTGAGCATCTTTTAATATATTCATTGACCAGGCACTGTGCTAAATAATGGGAAAATGGAGAGTAAGACAGATCCGATCCTTGCCTTGCAGAGCTCAGCTCCTGAGAGATTTGGAACTCTCCTTGTTTCATAACTTAGAACACATAGCATTGCTGCTGCCCTGGTGATGCCTGTCCCAGCTTCTTGGAACAGGGAAGGGCTTAGGACCTGGGAAGCAGTTGGATCTGCCTGGAGTCAGGCATGCTTTTTTAAACTCCCTTTATCTCTTTATAATATCTGGCAGCGGTGCTGTTGAAGCTTCTGGTGTAGTGGCAGCTCCAGGGGTACTTAGGGAGGCCGGGAGGCTTTAACGCCATGCTTTATCTCTTTATCAGCTCATTTAGGGCATGTGAGGGACTCCTGCTTTTCATACAATTACTATTTTTACCCCAAATCTTTGTTTTATTGTAAAAAGTACTTTGTTTTATTATACTCACTGTCTCAAGCACTTCCAAGTTTTGACATTTATTTATTTATTTTTTTAAAGCACATGGGAGTGTTTTCCATCAGATGATGACAATGAGAAGGCAGCCTCAACTCCTAGTAAAACTGAGATCTTTGAACAGAAGATCAAGAGACTCGCTGAGGTTGGTACCCACTTACCTGGCCAGTGAACTTGAGGCCCTTCGGCGTCTAGAGACCATCTCTGCTTTTGGCTTCTCCTCCTGCTTGATCATCTTTTGTCGGTTAGTTTGTTCCTCATTAATTCATCTGCTGAGGATCAGCAAGGAAATGGAATGGTAGGAAAATTCAAATCAGCTTACGCTTTTGTTTACTGGTTAGTTCAAGTGATACATTTGGTCAGAAATAGTAGAGAAACTTGGCTAAATCGGGCTTGCCATCCACAATCCTGTCGTCAGGGAACCTTTTTTAAATATCAGGTTAGTTAAGGTATAATTTCCATGCAATAAAACTTACCTTTTTTGGTTTACAGTTCTCTGAGTCTTGACCAGTGTATACAGTCGTGTAACTACCACCACAACCAAGATGAAGAACATTCCCATCACTCTAAACAGCTGTCTGCTTTGTGGTCAGCTCCCCAGCCTCAGCCTCAGGCAGCCACTCATCTGTCTTCTTTTCCCGCAGTTTGTTTTTTGTTTTTCAGTTTTCATTTTTTAGTTTTTAGTCTCAGAGGTAGAGTTTAGTGATTCATCAGTTGCATATAATACCCAGGGCTCCTTACATCAAATGCCCTCCTTAATGCCCGTCACCCAGTTACCCCATCCCCTCACCCACCTCCCTTCCAGCACCCCTCAGTTTGTTTCCTGTAGTTAAGAGCCTCTCATGGTTTGTCTCCCTCTCTGATTTTGTCTTATTTTATTTTTCCCTCCCTTCCCCTATGATCCTCTGTTTTGTTTCCTAAATTCCACATATGAGTGAAACCATATGATAATTGCCTTTCTCTGATTGACTTATTTTGCTTAGCATACTACCTTCTAGTTCCATTCACGTTGTTGCAAATGGTAAGATTTCATTTTTTGATGGCTGAGTAAATTCCATTGTATATATACACCACATCTTCTTTATCAATTCATCAGTCGATGAACATCTTTCCATAGCTTGGCTATTGTGGACATCACTGCTATAAACATCAGGGTGCAGGTGCCCCTTCGAATCAGCATTTTTTTATCCTTTGGATAAATACCCAGTAGTTCTATTTTTAACTTTTGAGGAACTTCCATACTGTTTTCCAGAGTGGCTGCACAGTTTTCATTCCCACCAACAATGCAAAAGGGTTCCCCTTTATCCACATCCTCGCTAACATTTGTTGTTTCCTGAGTTGTTAACATTAGCCATGCTGACTGGTGTGAAGTGGTGTCTCACTGTGGTTTTGATTTGTATTTCCCTGATGCCGAGTGATGTTGAACATTTTTTCATGTGTCTGTTGGCCATTTGTATTCCCAGCAGTTTTGTCTTTTCCAGAATGTCATACATATGGAGTCATTCAGTATGTAGCCTACTAGGTCTGGTTTCTTTCACCCAGCATACTGCTGCATTTGAGAGTCATCCATGCCATTGCACGTAGTAGAAGTTGTTCTTTTTTGTTCTAAATATTATTTCATTTGATGGATATACCATAATGCATTTATCCATTCACTGACTGATAGACATCTGGGTTGTTTCTAAGTTTGGGCAATTATGAATAAAGCCACTCTAAATATTTGCATACAGGTTTTTTGTGTGTGGCCATATGACTTTATTTTTCAGAGGTATAAATACCTAGGAGCGGGATTGCTGCATCATCTGGTGTCCTTCTAATTTTATAAGAAACTGCCAAATTGTTGGGGCGCCTGGGTGGCTCAGTCGGTTGAGCGGCTGCCTTCGGCTCAGGTCATGATCCTGAAGTCCTGGGATCGAGCCCCGCGTCGGGCTCCCCGCTCAGCGGGGAGTCTGCTTCTCTCTCTCCCTCTGCCTGCCTCTCTGCCTACTTGTGCTCTCTATCTGTCAAATAAATAAATAAAATCTTTAAAAAAAAAAAAAAAAGAAACTGCCAAATTGTTTTCCAAAATAGCTATAGCATTTTATACCCCCAGCAGCAATGTATGAAAGTTCCAATTAGGCATATTCTTGGTATTATCCATTTTTTTCTATTTTGGCCATTTTAATAAGTGAGTAATGGTATCTCCTGGTGGTTTTAATTTGCATTTTCTTCAGGGAGCTTTTTTTTCTTTTTCTTTTTCTTTTTTTCTTTCTTTTTAAAGATTTTATTTATTTATTTGACAGAGAGAGAGAGAGACAGCGAGAAAGGGAACACAAGCAGGGGGGGTGGAAGAGGGAGAAGCAGGCTTCCCACAGAGCAGGGAGCCCGATGCAAGGCTCCATCCCAGGACCCTGGGATCATGACATGAGCCGAAGGCAGACGCTTAATGACTGAGCCACCCAGGCGCCCCTCTTCAGGGAGCTTTTTAAAATTTATTTTACTTTTTAGTTAATTTTCTTTTATTGATTTATAGAGCTCTTTTTAGATTTTTTATTCCAGTATAATTAACATACGGTGTTATAGTCATCTCAGGTGTACAATATAGTGATTTAACAATTCCGTACATTCCATACATCACAATAAATGTACTCTTAATCCCCTTCACCTATTTCAAGGAACTTTTACACTAGTAGGGTCCCAGATCTGTCACCTTCCAACTCAGTAGCCTCTTGGACAAGTCATTTAACTATCTTTCTCAGGATCCCAATGTCTACATCTTTTAAATGGGCATAATAATATCAACCCCATGAAGCTATAATGAGGTTTAATGAAAAGAAAGTATATAAAACACTTAGATTGTTTTTATAGTATATGGCACAGAGTAAAATAAAGTAAGTGTTAGCTATAATTATTTACTATTATTATTATCATATTATAGATAAATGCAAATATAATTCCAGGTCCATGGTGCTGTATGTCATAAATTTGTTTAAATGAAGATGTGCTGTGTAGCTGGTAAGATCAGGAGGGATTTGAAATAGGCTTTGAAGGATGGGAGAGCTGTGCACATGTGAAGATAGGAAGCCATGGAGAAAAGGAACCTAACACAGAGGGCATATAGTGGACAAGAGGTGGAAGGGAAGAGCAGGGCCTGGGAGCAGAAACTGATGAAGTTGGCCTGTCCCACCGCGACCTGCTTCTTGCTGATCACCAAGAAACAGAGTAAGAGATGAAAACTTGGCATATCCTCCTGAATTGTTGCTTTTCTCATTCTGGATCATGCCCTTAGTTTAAATATTCCTTGTTCTTATATCTGATACTGAAATGTGTTTTCTAATTCTAGTATTAACAATTAAATCTTTCAATAACCATTAATAATGTGTTCATGGATATTATTCATTCTCTTGACTGCCCTCCCCCCCCCCCCCCGATGTTTATAGCACTTATAAATTCCCTTTTTTGGCCAGACTTTCCTTGGAAAATTGTTATTTTTCAAGATTTAGAAAAAAGAAGCACAGTAGCAGTCTTTGTAAAAGAAAAGCCAAAATCCTGTTTGGCTTCATTCTTCCTGCTTCTTCAGCCTCCCACTCCTCATCTCATGGGTAAGCCTCCAAGAGTTCCCCAAGTACTCCCAAGTGTGTCTTTCAAGTACAGCTCTTAATAGTGTTGCTTTGGCCCCAAATACTGGTTCCAAGATACTTTTTACCATCTAGGGATCAGATTTGTCTGGGTGGTGCACAGGTCAGGTAGGCAGGCCCATGCTTCCAAAGCAGTGAGTGTTCTTCTGTATGCTGGTTCTCAGAGAAGGGTCCTGAGTCCTTGCCCTCCGGACTGCAGGAACTAAGGTGCTTGTTTGATCACAGCACACACTAGGCACCCAAAAAAAATGTTTACTAAAGAATTTCAAAGTAGAAATCTACCTTAGGACCTCTGTTCTGCCTCCTGCTGTCCCTAAAGTCCCCCACCTTGTCTTGGTGTGTGCTCTTCTCTCCTCCTAGAGCCCAGAGGGGGACCCGAGCATTGCCACTCTACTTTGTATGATCCTGAAATGTGTATGCCTGGTAGTGGCAAGTGTGGCTTGGGGCAACTCTCTGGTGCGGCCTAGGCTCAGGCTGGCTCTACAGAGACCAGGCCATGGGCACAGAGAATCCAGACGCCCCTGCCTCACTGCAGAGCCCATGAGCTGTGGTGTGAAGGCTGTGCTGTGGGTCCAGGGTGAGAGGCTGGGCACCAGCATGGGTGCTTTTGGGCATCTCTGCCCTGAGCCTGCACACCCTGGAGGTGGAGACTGAAGCAAGACTGATCCATCTCAGTTCCCTCTCCTTCCCTGACTGCCACCTTCAAGTGGATGGAAGAGGAAGACAAGTAACGATACCAAGAGCCCTCGTCCTCTCCTCCAAAAGTGCATCACACCTCTCTCCCCACCCTCCCTTGCTTAAGAACTCCACTTTTGTTTGGCCAGACTCTTCTGCTTAAAGGAGAAAGGACAGAGGCTTTTAACATTATGCCAAGCAAGATACAGCAATGCACACAGACCCAATGGTGGGAAGCCTAGAGAGTTTGCCTTCCCGCCCACTTTCCCCCAGTTCCTTTGCTAGTTGTCTTCATACTGCCCTCTCACAGCCGGCAGTCTTATGTGTGCGTACCCTTGGATGTCCGGAGACCCGCAAAAATGCAAATTAACCAATGTAGACTTGTCTCCTTTTCAAAGAAACCGCACCAGAATCCTGCCTGTGAGATTCCTTTGGCGGAGACAGTTGTAATCATGGTCACCCTCTCAGTAGGAGATGAAAGAGGAAGCAAAGAGATCCTTCAGTTTCACTGAGAGTATGCCATTCTAATTTTGGAGCTATTTTTCAGTGGGGTTTTACCCTGATGTGATTTGGCCAAAAGCATGCGTTTAAGCCGCTGATGAGGGCAGGCTCTGAATTTCGACCCAGACTCCCAGTGCATGAGTTCAGAATCCCAAGAAATACGGGTCTGTAAAAGTAGGCTGTGTGCATGCGTGTAAATTTGCTATAAACTTATTTGTCTTTGCCTTTTTGATGTCTCCCATCTTTTTTTCCCTCTTTCACTTCCATTGTATTGTTTCTAAAAATAAATGAGGTAATCGTGTTACTAGCCTGGGGCCCATGATTAGGTTCATTGCACTTCCGCCATCAGAGTTTGCTGGTGTATCTGTGAGATCAGAAAGAAGTATATTTTTACTTCTTCAACTTAGCCAACCTCCATAGCCCGGAGCTTTCTGCTCATCTTGGGTTTGGGAAAATCAGAGGATTTCCCCAAAGAAAACTAATAAAGTGCAGCAGTCCTGCCTCATGTTGTGGGGAAGTGCCAGAAGGAAGGGAGCGCCCACCCTGTGGGAGGAACGAAGGCCTCCACCGCAGCTGGCAGCAATGCCAACCAGACAGAGCAGACGGGTCTGTGAGAGGAGAGGGAAAAATGGAAGGAAGGTTACACCCCTTCCTCCAGCAAAATCACTGGCTGTTCTTCAGCATGAGCCATGGCTTGGGCATGCAGCTGAAACACTGCCCAAATGGACCATAGACCAGAGGGCAGGATGTGGAACAAGCCTGAGGGATCACAGCTGAACACTGAGCAGACATGTGGTGGCATCAAGGCAGCTTAACTGGTCCTCCGCAGCCAGTCTTTGAAATCCAGGTCAGACACAGGACCGGCATCGTAGCGGCGGTGAAAAACAACGATTTCTAACTTTGTGTGCCACGTGCCCTATATGAATGTCAGAAAGCCTCTCTTGCATTTTGGGGATGTTTCTAGAAATGCGGGGGTTAGGAAGTGGTGAAGGATACTTACAAAATTCCATGAAGCTACCTCTAGGGAATCCATTGTTCCTGTACCACCCTAGGGATTACACTTACTCTGTTCTCTTCCACCAGGCTAGAAGCCTGAATATTACCTCTGCAACTAATGTCCCCTTCTAAAATACTTATTCTAGAAATTAAAGGATTAATTTACAAAAGTTAAAGTCTCTTTTTTAACTTTTGATGGTTTTTCTTAGCCCGAAGATATTTTCCTCCTTGATAAAGGGCATGGTTTGCAAGGTTTTCAAGATTTCCTATGTGGTCATTCTTTATCGCTTAATGACAGAGTTCATGTATTTCTTTTTTTTTTTTTTTTAAGATTTTTTTTTTTTTTTATCTGAGAGAGAGAATGGGAGACAAAGAGCATGAGAGGGGGAGGATCAGAGGGAGAAGCAGGCTCCCTGCCGAGCAGGGAGCCCGATGTGGGACTCGATCCCGGGACTCCAGGATCATGACCTGAGCCGAAGGCAGTTGCTTAACCAACTGAGCCACCCAGGCGCCCCAAGTTCATGTATTTCTAAAAATAATATTTAGAAAATGTATATTTAGAATGATTCAAGACATTTTTTTGAGTATATTCTAATGTTAGCTCTTGTGCTCAGTATACATGCCCAGTAGGCACTTAGTGCATGTCATGTGTCAGGATTTTAAAGCACTCACTTGTCATGTTTCCAGATTATTATTTTTGAAATAATATTGAAATTTTGTTTCTATTTTTATAAGTATTTTCTTCTTTTTGATGCTATTGTATATGGAATTGGTTTTAATTTTCTTTTCAAATTGTTCATTATTGGTGTATGGAAGCAAGACTAATTTTTGTGTGCTGATTTTATATCCTACAGCTTGGTTGAATTTGTTTATTTGAACAGTTTTTTGTGGAATCTTTAGGGTTTTCTACATATAAGACCATGTTGTCTGTGAACAGAGATAATTTTACTTCTTCTTTTCCAATTTGGATGTCTTTTGTTCCTTTTTCTTGCCTGGGGCTCTGGCTAGGACTTCTAGTACTATATTGAATAAAAGTGGTGAAAGCAGGCATCCTTGTGTTGTTTCTTTTCTTTTCTTTTTTTTTTAAGATTTTATTTATTTATTTATTTGAGACAGAGAGATTGAGAGAGAGCGAGCACATGAGAGGAGGGAGGGTCAGAGGCAGAAGCAGGCTCCCTGCCGAGCAGGGAGCCCGATGCGGGACTCAATCCAGGGACTCCAGGATCATGACCTGAGCCGAAGGCAGTCGCTTAACCAACTGAGCCACCCAGGCGCCCCCTGTGTTGTTTCTGATCTTAGAGAAAAAGTTTATGGTCTTTCACCATTGAATATGATGCTAGCTGTGGGATTTTCATATATGGCCTTTATTATGTGGAGGTAGTTTTCTTCTATTCCTAGGATTGTTGAGTGTTTTTATTATGAAAAGGTATTGAATTTTGTCAAATTCTTTTTCAGCATCAGTTGAGAAGATCATGTGGGTTTTTGCTTCATTCTG